CTCTCCCGGGACGCATTACGAAAGTACTAAACTTCGAGATCGATACTAGAGTTACTGTATTAGCTTGGCTGATAATACGTATAAACTATAGACTTTTAGACAATTCGTCTCTCGAGAATATGAGTATTTTTAAATTTCAAATTATCCTAGAATAGTTGATGAACCAACTAAAAATAATAGTGTAGTTTTTTTTTAATCATTTTCCAAAACGGATCAGCAACTATGGACTAGGTCTCATATATCTTAGGTCATAACGTTACCCACTTTCGCAAAAATCAATTACTACTTCTAGCATATTATTCACGTAGCAAGCAGTGTAGAGAAGGTTGATACGTAATACAAGAAAATGTGCATGAAACGTTTCAGGTATAAGAACGGAAGATAGTATTGCATTAGGTGTCCCAGGAGAAGAGCGGAGAGTCGAGCTTCTCCCGACCCTCGCGGGACGCATAACAACAACACTACTATGAAGATCAATACTAGTCTCGGTTACTTTTTAAGATATAGTACTATTTCGTTACCATTCAAAGATACCGTTATTTAATATGTCGAATCCAGTAGCTCTACTTTTCTTCAAAGTTCTAAAAAAGTAATTGCATGTCTTCATAGACAAGTACGATTAGGTACTTTTTCACTATTCTGCCTGATAAAGAACGATTTCTTCTCTAAAAACAGAGCGTTAGAAAATACATAATTATATCGCAGCCTATTAGGACACCCTGTATCTATGTAGCCTGGCCGGACTTTTTGATATCAGATTTAGGTAATTTACCACAGATGGCTTGTAACTCAATAAAATTGGTCTATAATCCTCAAAACCTAGACCTACATAACTTGCTGAAAAACAATAATAAATCGTTAGCCACTCCAAAGTAGTTAAGTACTCCAAGCTTAAGTAAATTGACGTCACACTTTGATTTGGAAAAAAAAATCATAAAATGTCGTATGTTAGGGAAATCCGTACCTAAGTAGGTATATAGTACAGACCCAGCCACCTCACGTCTCATTTGTTAAATAATGGCGGTCCTAAACTCGTCGCGTTGCGACGTAGCGCGAGCCAAACCGCGGGCCACACCGCGACGGGTCACTGATAAAACGCTGATATTAGGGCGCCGCGACCGCACCGCGGCGCAGCGCGTCCATCACCCGCGCTGGTTGATGCGGCGCTATTCATTACACTTACAAACTCGTACCTGTGCTAAATCCTATGTAGCAATGTTGTGAGGTGTGCGATTTACAGTGGTCTGTTTAGGTCTCGATTTACAACCGTCAATAAGGCATTAGGGTTCGCACAAACGTAATGAGCTTAGGTAATAATTAACATATAACCACAGAATATTAATAAGTTACTAAATATAACTTATTAGCGGCCGCCCACGACTTCGTACGCGTGGATCCCGTTTTACCAGATTAGGGGTTGAATTTTGCAAAATCCCATCTTAGTGAGCACCGTTCTAAAAGAACCCCAATGTAATGGAATGTAATATTAGTAAATTGTAGTGTACACTTAGATTAGGCTTTATTAATCTAAGAGTGCACATTACTTTGCTTGTGGTAGGAACGGGTTCACCGTAATGTAGTCCAGCAGAAAACGAGGATAGAACTCGGAAAATCTGAACGGATTTTTTTTTCACTTTTTGGAAGGAAAAATATCGTACCAATAAGCGTTTATAAATTATTTAAAATACTACATATTTAATACAATAATTATTTAATACAGTTAGATATTAAAGTAACTTTGAGTTTTTTTATGATAAAGACTAGCTGTGCCCGCGATTTCGTACACGTGAAAATTCTTAGTTTGAATAATATTTTCCGTTTTCACAACATTTTTCTCTACTCCGCCCCTATTGGCCGTAGGGTGATGTTATCCTTAAGCCTTCCTCGATACATTGGGCTATTCAACACTAAAAGATTTTTTCAAATCGGACCAGTACCTACCTAAGTAGTTCCTACCCTAAGATTAGCGCGTTCAACCAAACAAACAAACTCTTGAGCTTTATTATATTAGTATACTTAGATATAGGGGATTTTTTATATTATTCTTTGATAGCCTCGATGATGAGCGTAAAAAATCGTTAAACCTTTTTTTTTAAGAATAGGTAAGTAGCAATCAGACCTCATGAGGAAATTAGATAGAGTCTAAGCTGGCCTGATTCCAAGTTCAGCATTGTTTTAGAATTTCAAATAACAATATTCGAAATATATATAAAAATAATTACTATACATGCATCGGTAAATCTTTGTTCTTGCTGTTGTTGTTTGTGGTGTTAATTCTTTGTCACACCGCCGAAATTATATCTACTTCTGTGCAGCAGAAGGGGGTGACATTTTTGTTTCTTAAAATAAATTGGAACTAAACTAACCTAGGAACTACTTACTTTAAGAAAGCTTTTGGGTACCTTAACCTCAGTTCACATGTTAGGTATCTAACGCTCGCTCTCAGTTATCTCTAAGTAATTTAAAAAACTAATTAATTTGTTTCACTAAAACTTACGTTTCAGGGATCTAGGTTTCGCTTGTTTTCTTCGTGACATCCTTTCACCCAAACACCAACACAAGGGGCACTTTAGTCTGTTTTTAAATGAACCAAACTGATTTGAGACATATTTTAGCAATCGTAAACACCGATAAAGTTTCGGGAAAGTACGGCGTAGGGGTCGCACGAGCTAGGGGTAGACGCGGCGCCCATCCAGCGCTCGCCGAGTTACTGGCGCCCAACAAGTGGCAATAACAACATGTAGCCGCCGCGCAAACTCATAAGTGCACGCTGACTCTTGCACTTTCTTAGAAACTTAAGCAACATCACTTGAGCATAAGTGCTGAAACACTGGTCAAAATTTAATAGATATTTTTGATTTTGAACGTTTAAAAGACATTCGTTTTTACTGCCTACCTAACATACAGTAAAGACATTTTAAAGTTGCAATAGAAAATAATTTAACATAAAGGTAGGAACTTATTTGTTTACTTACTCATAAATGCATGTGGTGTGGTGGTGTTTAAATTTACTTTGTAAATTACTCAATATTTCTTAGTTATGTACCTACTTGTTTTGTGTACATTTAGATTAATGATAGGTACATATGTCGTTAGTATAAAATCATAAATCATTAACCTGCCTAAAACGGCTTAAAAGGAAGGTGAGTATTTTTTTCACACAAATATCACAAAAATGTTTTATTTGTAAGTACTTACAAAAAATCACAATACATGTTTTTTAGACTACTAAGACAGTTCAGATAACTGCGCAGTTTTTGAAATTACTTAGAACCTATGAAAATACTTTAAACTACTTTTAAACTTTTAAGTTGATATTAATGTTTCACTAAAATACTTATTTTTTAAGTTTCTAGCAAACATTTTGTATCTTGCAACAAAGATAGGATGGAAGGTGAGTAGCTACCTACTTATTTTTTTCACACAACTGCAATTGATAGCGATTCTGTTAAAAAATAAATCTGAGAAAAGTCAACCCAAAAAAATATAAAAGACTAGCTGACCCGGCGAACTTCGTACCGCCTTAGCGTAGAGATTTTCTTAATATTTTTTTCCGTAAGAACCATCCTTGGACTTCCACAAACATTTAAAAAAAAGAATTATCGAAATCGGTTCAGCCGTTCACACGTGATGCCGTGACAACGCGAAACGGGTTTCATTTTTATATATATAGATAAAATATAAATAAACTCTACTTGATCAAGAAATTTTTAAAAGTTACAAAATGAAACACAACTTCTAAACTACGAAATTGTAGAACATACATGGGAGTGATTGGGGTAGCCCTAGTAATGCTCTACCTCTGGGCTTCGGCTTGACACTACTTTTTGGGACACTCTGTATATGGATAACAATTATAATTTAATTTCTTATTTAAATTAATTTTATGTTTATTCGGATAATTTATTCAGTCCTTTACTTTCCTGTGTGTTCCTTTCCTCCTTTAATTTTCCTTACCTTACCTGTGGCTGACACACAAACCAGCCGTGGCGTGGACCAGCCGTGCATGTAGAGATGGGTTTCCACCCGGGTAAAAACCCACATGAGGGTAAAAACCCAATAAAAACCCGTTTCATTCCACCCGCGGGTGTTTACACCGGGTGAAAACAAATAATTTTATAATTATTTCAATTGGTATCTTTTCTTTATTTTTATTGAATTTTTCTCATTTAAGTTTATTGATTAATAAGTAATAAGTCAAATTTAACACTAATATGCATTTATATCGTGGCCAAATCGTAAAATTGATCACGTTATGATGATGTGACCAATTATTTTATAAAATGGTGTTATTTCAAGAATCGTTGAACCGATTTAGAAGAAATTCAGTAGGAAAACAATAATTTGTGATCATGGCAAGGACATGGAGGGGGGGAGGGGGGGGGATGCCAAAGATGCCAAACTCTCTCTTTGATGACAGTACGGTATAAAGTTACAAATAACAACACCAACTACAAAGTACTTCTGCTTAAAAACTTGAAATCGAACCGCCCTTCCGCCACTGTAACGCATTGTAACGCATTGTAACGTTTTTCAATACCTCTTCTCCCCCCAGATTGCATTACGTAACACTAGAACGCCCCCTTAGCAACAAATACAACTTCTCACTTAAAAAAACGCTATTTTTGTTTTCACCCACCAGAATGGGTGATAATGGGTAAAAACCGGGTTTAAACCCAAATCACCCAGTTTAAACCCAATCGGGTGAAATGGGTTTTTACCCACTACCCATCTCTACGTGCATGCCATCTCAAAAGAAAAAGAAACTTAATCATCAAGGAGTGCGATTGGCCGAAAATAGAATTTGTAAGAAGCCTGTATACGACACGAGGACACGTTTGCTAACTTTAATAGTGACTTTTTTCATACATTTTTTAGCAGTAATAACACTTACATTAGCGATCGCCATTTTTCTTTGAAGCGCTAATAATTCTATTTTCGGCCAAACTTTCCTATTAAATCTGTCAATCTGTCATTGTCATTGTCACCTGTGTAAATGTGTCAAAAAAAATCATCTGCTGCGAGCTGCGACTGCACGGAAGTGAATTCGCAAATCAATAATGCTATTATAAGTACCAAATTCTTGTGTTTCATCGACTCTTACAAAGCAGAATAGATCAACATGGATCTCCCATATGAGGTACGTATCAAGTAATATCTAAACTTTGAATACAAATCGTTTGTAAAACTATTAATCCAGTTTTCCTTGTTCGTATTTTACACCATAATTTTTCACGTGATTTTAGTAGTTTAGCCAACTGTCTTTGTATTCATTAATATGTACTAGACCTAGCATATACTTAGATAGGCTTCGTAACCGTAAATCGAACTTAATTTTACTGTATTTCTTTAAAAAATAAGATGTATAAAGAAACAGTGTACTTAAAGTATCGTATCTTTAAATAGCAGTTTAATTTCATTTAATCAGTATAGGTGCTTACCAATTATATGAAATTGAAATGTACCTTTTCTTAGTAAATAATTAAGCTATATCTTCCAGGTGTTGGTTTACTTATTTAAGTATTTACCAAGAGCAGATAGAAAAGCGGCAAGTGAAACATGTCGCGCCTGGTATATAGCTGCCAATGACAATTACTTTTTGAAGAGTAAATTAGTAACATTCCACAGAGGGGCATTTAATGATGAAGACCTATCAAAACTAAGTACATATGAAAATTCCTCAGTAATTTACCGCAATTACATGTTCTGCGATGTAGAAATATCAAGCAGACTCAATGGATTTTGGAACAAAATGGGAGAATTTATAAATTCATTGGAATTTGTGAAGGTTGATGTATGTGAAAAGGAATTTCTGTACATACTCCAAAAATGCCCAAACTTGGAAACACTTAATATTCATAGCTGCAAAGAAATCTTCATGTCTGGTCGATTACTAGGGGGTAAAACTGAAGTAGTGAAAAACCTTGATTATTTAAAATCCTTGAGCTTGACTAATAATAAGTATTTAACAGATGCCTTGTTAAACAGATTTGTAGTATCAGCACCATTATTGGAATTCTTGGATTTATCAGATTGTTCTTTGCAGTTCCACGCTGGGCTTATTAAAAGGTTTTATCCAATTGGCTCCAATGTCTTTGAAAATCCCTCTGAAAGTGTATTAACATTTTATTTCATAATGCAGTTCATTATATCTCGAGCCAAAGTACTTAAACAATTAATACTTTCAAACACTCTTATAGATGGTGTCGCTCTAAAATCCATAGCAGAGATTGAACACTTGAAACTAGAGACCTTAATTGTGCATTCCTGTGACCAGCTAACTAACAATGGCATCTTAGCATTGACAACACACCAAACCAGTTTAGTATCTCTTGATCTTGGGCTGTGCAGTAGAGTCACTGATCAATCTCTTGTTTATATATGCCAAAACCTTAAGAATTTGGAATGCCTTGACATTCAAAGGTGCCGTGCTGTTACCGATTTAGGTGCCATTGAACTGAGGAAACTGAAAAAATTGAATTCTTTAAACATAGCTCAATGTGACCTAATTACTAAAGTTGGCTTTGAAAAAGGGATATGTCATGAAGTAAATAATGAGCTTCAAGATTTGAATATTAGCGCACTTAATTTGGATCAAGAAACACTTATAATGATATCCGAAAAACTACCAAAATTAAAATTTCTGGACATAAGTTTCTGCCTCAATGGTGTTACAGATAAGTCTATTCAAGTTATATTAAAGAACCAAATACGTTTGAAAACTTTGAAAATGAGTTACTGTGACAAAGTCACAGATGCAGGCTTAACAGGTATGGGGAAAATGGAGGAAATCAATGACAACGTCCCAATAATGGCGCAATATTATGAATGTAGTAGTCATCATCATAAAATTCACTTAGGATCCAGAGCTGAGGAGGAGATTCTTAGAGATGCACAAAAAAAACGTGAGGTAATGCTTATGTGCGAGAAACTTACACTAGATTCCTCTACTGGATACTCATTGGCGCGCCTGAAATGCCTACAACACCTGGATATAAGTGGATGTAATAGAATCACAGATGTCAGTTTAACTTACACATTTAACTTCAAAGAACTGATTGTTCTTAGCTTGAGCAGGTGTCAACAAATATCACACGAGGGTATGGCACATCTAGTCAAAAATTGCCCAAGCATAGAATTATTTAATTTAATGGATTGCTACAATTTGAAAGATGAAGCTGTTGTGGAAATAGCAAAAGGTTTACATAGATTGGAGAACCTCGTACTAAAGGTATGTAATAAAAATCACTCTTATATTATAAAGGCGTTTGTTACTTCTTCGCGTCTAAACGGCTAGAGCGATTTGAATAAAGTTTGTTAATAACTTAGAGTAACATTAGAGGCTATACCTAATGAGGATCATTTCGATTTTTAGCTGTGAATGCAGATTTAAAGGGCTAAGAAATCCATAATATACAGTCCAAAAATTTTTGTTCTACAACAAAAAATTACGAAGTTATGGCCAAATTATTACTAAAAAAGTTTACTGAAAAATATTTTTTTTTAGCCAAACTATCAGTTTTAGAGAAAATCTTGTAATGACATTTATTCATCAGAATAAAGTAAGCTATCGATAGGTAATTTTTAAAAATAGAAATTGTGAAAAATATCGCAAAAAATCCATACGCTCATACGATTCAATGGAACGCGGAGACGCGATTGGGGTCTCCGCGGTGGTATATTTGGCGATTTATTCAAATAAAGTGTTCATAAGTGTTGTTAGAGTCATATCTTCTTCCAAGTAAAATGTAAAAATGTATAAGTATTAATTTATTTACTTCTAAGTTCAATAAGGTATAGCTGAGGCAGATACACTCTGCCTAGGCTACAAGATATTGCTATGAAGATCATTTCGATGTACACGCAATACCTACCTGTTATTTAGTTTTTCTGAGTTAAACCTACGTACCTACCTATCTATTCGCCGTTCCCATGGGCGGGCCAGCTGCTCCCTCCTAGAAATCTATTTAATCTTAGCCTAGAAGCTGGGTATGACTCCCCCGTCCCCCTTCCTCCCCCCAGGCCAGAAGCTAGGTAAGGCTGGCCCCTCCCCCCAGGCCAGAAGCTAGGTAAGGCTTGCCCCTCCCCCCAGGCCATAAGCATAAGCTGGGTATGACTCCCCTTCGGCCAGAAGCTGGGTATGAAACCCCTCCTATGCCAGAAACTGGGTATGACTTCATCAAACTCGATTCAGCAGAGAACAGCTTATAAATAAAGACGTCGTCGTACTCGTACCTACTTAATATTAATTTCGCAACACTTACCTACTTAATTTTTTATTTTAGGGCTGCAATCAACTGACGGACAAATCAGTGGAAGCTTTATATGCTCACTGTAAGAAGTTGCAGTTTCTGGATGTTCAAGGATGTCGCTACATAACACCGGAAGTGGCGTTCTCGCTTGGCAACTTGCGAACATTTCACACTCTTATAATATCAAAACCGAGATGTCCCTTGCCAGAAGAACCGAAGACCAACCCGCCACCACCAGCTCCATCATTTTTCCCGTCTTTGCTGAGGAAATTACGTTTAGTACACTAAATTCTTAATTGTAGCATTACAAGCACACATACATCGAGGCGTAAGTATATTTAGAAAAATATTTGTTTCTTTTTAACATTTTTATACATACTTATGTTTTAGTGACCGTGTCTCGACTCAGCAGTAGGTACCTATTTACTGCCTACTGGCATTTATGTTAATTATTAGAAAATGTATGATTTTTACAAAATCACTCACTATACGTAAATTATGTAAATCATCCCTATTTTGGGATTTTAAGTAGGTATATTACTGACGCAGCTGCGCAGTAAGTAAATGACATGATAAGATTATGTGAAAGCGACTTGATCAATCTGTTTATTGATGTTTAGATACATATTGTAGCTAATCTAAAATACTGGTAATGTCACCCTAAAAAAAAGTCTATTGATGAACGAGGTTGCTGCTGTTTGTCCAGCGCATTAGCAAAGTGAGGTACCCCAATGAGATGTGGACGGAGTCTGCAGCCCTAGGGAAGGAAAGTTGATGAATGTAGATTTTGTAACAGAAAACCCACTTGGGTTAGATAGGTAGGTACATGGCCAGGAATGGCGATATTATTGGAGAGCTTAAAAAATATATTAACTGTAAATGTCTATTAATCTGTAAATGAGTGTAAGTATTAAACTGTAGGTAAATGTATAAAAAGAGGCGAAATGTATTTGTTCCATCTGAAAGAAATGAAGATAAGATAATGGCAACTGCCATGAACTATAATGCATACATATTCAAATGTGAACATTTACAATACTTCAGCTCTCGATTTCAACAAGTCCAATGTCCGAGTGAAACGAAGCTGGAGACTGTAAATGTGACGTCACAGTACATTGAAATGTTCAGGGTCAGGCGCCTACTAAACAACATACAATTAAAATGGCTCGAAGTTTTTACGAAGACTAATGTATTTTATGTAAATTAAGTAGTAACATAAAAATGAGAAATATACAAAAACAATGTAAACAATTTTATCGTTATCATTCCGTTATCACTTAAATTATTTTAGATTTTGTATGACCTACGTAATGGACAAGTTGGATTTCTTTGTTCTTTCTTTGTTGTCACTTTCAATCTAAGCAGCCTTTTTTACTGACAATTTTAAATAAAAAGACATTAACTGTAGAGCTTTTTCGTCGATTTTTTAATAGATTCTTTATAATTTAATTTACCAGTGATATTCTTTTTTCTTAACTTATTTATTATTACTTAGTGTAGGTACTAATTTTTAAAATAGGTAATACAAATTTTTGAAATAACTGTAGGTATAACATTTTAAGTTCATTTGTTCATACATAAATACTAACGCTTTTCCATGTTGTACTAAAGCCATGTATTCATTAGGCAACATTTGTTTATAAACTGTTCATAAACAATGTTTCATAATGTTTCATCTTCTCTGTAAACAGTTTATAAACAGTCCATAAACATAAGTGATGAAACATTGTTTATGATACATGTTGCCGTGCTCCCCGCTATGAGTGGAGAGCAAGTGTGGACGGCCAAGTTTCAGAAACCTGTGTTTATGGTAAACTTGTTTCACACCTAGTCATAAACAGTTTATCAACAAATTAATGTTGCCTAATTAGGGTAGATGACCCACGCTGAACTGTCCCACCAAACTCAATGACAGGGGGGCGCTACCATCGTTCGACTATATGGTTTCCAACATAGCAAAAATCAGAACCAGCGATCCGGTATTGACGGTGGCGCCCCACTGTCAATGTCATGCATAGGACAGTTCAGTATTTTGGAACTATACATGGCTTAACTCTGTGTTGTGGAAACTGTTTAATTAAAACGTGTTCAATGGGGGCGTTTAGCCGAAAATAGATTGTTAGCAAAATGGCGATCGCCATGGCAACCACCGAAAACTTTAGCATATTTTCGGCGAGGACAAGTTTGCCAGCATCAAAAGTGACGTTTTCCCATCCATACATTTTTCTTACTAACGCTAACAATGCTATTTTCGGCCAAACGCCCCCATTAAAACGTTGGAACACTGACGGACGACCGCATAATTTTTGTAAATAACGGGACAAATTACTTCTCAGACTTTTTAAGAAGCAGCTGCACAAAACTTTACTTACCAACCTAGATGAATCTAGGCATAAAAAATAATATTCATTGATTACATTTTATGTAACTTAACTTTTTTTAGAAAATAATCAAAGTATAATTATTGTTGTTGTTATTGATGTTGTTGTAAATTAACCCATGAATGTTGTTGTAAAATAACACTTAGGAATGTTTCGTTTGATGGTCCTTCACACTATAATATTGGGGGGCCCAAATAAATACAAAACCACAGATTGTATTTACCTGTTAAATGACTATGATTTTATAATTCAGAGTGGAAATGAACTTCTTGTTACATAAAAAAATAATAAATTATTTATGTATCTTTGTTTATATTTACTTTAATGCAATGCTATTTTCATCAATAAGTAATAATTTATGTTTTTATCAATGTTATTTATGTTCCTTTGAGGAAATAGTTAAGTAGATACTGTGATAACATGTTTATTTTATGCTGTGAAAATCATTAAATAAATTATTGCATCATTTTTAGTGTTTTGTTGCTTTCCCCACCACTACAATAGGTATCAAATTTAAATCATCTCATCTACAGGATGTTAGGTAAATGGGTGTAGGTATAAGCCGACACTAGCCTATGTTAACATATAAATATAAATATAAATAAATGGTATGGTAAAGTCAGAAAATTGATATCATCATTTTAATTATTTTAATTTTCATACAAATCTGATTTTATAAATTTTATTTTGTATGAAAATTAAAATGATGATATCCTGATTCCTGACTTCCATATAAACCCATTTACCTAACATCCTGTATATATTTTGGTTAATAGCATAACTGGAAATAAAGGTTATTAGTTCTTTTTATATGACGTACCATCGATTTGATGACAGTTTCTTCAACTTTCTTTTCATGCAGGGAACCCAGAGGCGTGTTTTAGCTTCTTATGTCTTTACTAGCAGCACACTGGCACACTGGTAAAAAAAAACCTTGACTTGAGGTACCTACTTAACGTGGAGCTCTCGCTCGATGTTACTGAGCTGAGTTGTCACACTTCGAACGTAGACACCGTTTCAGGGAAGGGTACCTACAATTTCACCTTTTTTCGTGGTGTCCATGTTCAAATTTAGGCATAGCTACAAAAACTTTAAACGCGCGTTGAACACATCTTACACATCCATTGCCAGATTAAATGTCAATTTAAACTAATGTTCAAAGCGCGTTTAACTTTTTGTGGTAAAAGGGAATAAGTAGTTTAAAAATGAAAAAAAAAACTTTTTTATAATATTCAATACATTTATTTAAAAATAACTTATTATTAAATATAGGTATATTCTTATACTTTTATTACACACTAACAAACTTTGTTCATAATGAAATGTTATATACAATGTTATTATACGCTATAGATAGATATAAATAATGGCCAATATAAGTTCAGTCGAAATCGAATTCGACTTACAGCATTTACAAATTTATTCGTATGGTAAATCGTATTTAATACAAAGTAATTAAAAAATGAACTCATTTTTAATTGCTTACTCTCTAACATGATTACTCTCTGTGTTGAGAGACCAATACAAACATAATTATGTATGGAAGGACAATAAGGATACTTCGAAGCTTAGCTTACCTACTTATAGAATTGCCCGATAAAATAAGATCATCATCGTCAGAATACTGACCCCCTTACTAATAAAACTTACACGCTCGTTGAACAGCGTTTTAAAGTGACGTTTAGTATGGAAATGTCATTTTAAAACAGTGTTCAACTACTGTGTAACTTTTTATTAGTAAAGGGGTCAGAATGTATGATCGTAACATACTTACACAAAACTATACTCTGTGAGTAGGTAGTGTGCTAATTATTTAAAAAATCTGCATTCAAACCAGAAAAACAACAAGATATTCACATAAAAAGAAACAATACATATAAATGATAATTAAATCCAAATGAGTTGGACACAAAATTAAAAAGTTAAAATGCATTAAAATAATACTTTTCAAATTAAATGAATATTTATGATGATGCAAAATTTTAAGATTATTAAATCTACAATTTCACCAGTACCTATTCATTAATGAAGATAGGCACTAGCAGTGAAAACTGATGCTACGTAAATGGGCAAGTGATCAAAATTTAAATATAATCGTTTCGAGACTTTAAGAGTAGGTAATCCTAACAAGCAGCTATGTGGTATAAATTATTATACATTGATACATATTTACAAATAATAATATTATCCTACGACAAAATAATATTGCATGTGCCATATTGACTTTTTTGTACTAATTTATAGTCCAAAAAAATCTATATAAATTCACAAACGACGAAACTAGACCCACCAGTTTAGGATTTATTATTACAATTTTGCTTAACTATTCGTAAGTTAGTAAACAAACTAGTTTAGGGCCATTTCACTTTTCCTTTACAAACATTATGGAAATCTCACTAGGTCTAAAACGAGAAAAAATGCAGCCAAAATAATAATGAGTATTAGTTATAGATCTCGATATTCCATGAACTCTAAATCTAATTTCTTTCATACATTATACTGTGCCTAATTAAGTTGACTTGACACCTCTATTACAGTTACACTTGACCTGTCAACTTTACATTTTCTCGTATGAAACCCAATGAAACATTACATTATGTTATTCCGAATTTAAAGCAGTTAAACTGCATATTTCAGTACAAAATTAAAAGGCATGCACCATGCACAAAATACAATTAAACCGACTGGTAATTTGTGTTAAACATAAATTCAAAATAATCGTAATTTCTTGGGTCTCAATTCAGATTTTCAATCAACCAATAAAAATAAAATAATTGTCATTAAACAACGATATTATAAAAATGTACCATATCTTTATCGAATCTGCCTATCATCGTTTACAAAACTACTTTTATAACTTTATAGCCGTCTATTTCGGCACAGTCTTATATTATATTGCAGTCACATTATAACTCACATTTTTGTAATATCCATGTCTATTTAACAGCTAACTTTTAATTTATTATTGGCGTGACATGACGTATTGTTACAGTAGTAATACAAATTTATACTTATTGCACTATGAAGGTCAAAGCTGCATCAGAAAGTTTATAATTTAAATATATAAGGTACAGTATCTCTTATAATAAGCGGGGTAACTTCATATGGCCCGCTACTTGTGATGCTGACTCTACAAATAAGTCTAAAAGTTACATAGGTACATATCGACTATATTATATTTTTTATAAGGCACCTAAGCAAGATTTCTCTAAATAACATTTATCTTTTTTGATGATATTAATTTGTATTGCTAGCACTAGCCGACGCTAATATTACAGTATTTTATTGTTAATACAGTTGCGTAATTAATTGGACTCTTATCTCACTTTACCGATTCAATAAAAAAAAATTCAAATTCGAAATAATTATGATTTTAATGAAGTTTTTCTGTACTATGTATTTGAAACGCCTTTTGTAACAAAATTTTGAAAAACTTAAGATTTACTTGTTCAATATTATCATTTTTTTTTTTACTATTTACTATGGCCTTTAATCTCGTGGCGTTTGCCGTATAAATCTTCAAACAAAACATTTGGAACTTATAATTAATCAAAATCAACCATGCTTGTCCGTGTAATCCTAATGTGATTATCACACCAAAATCTTTAAATAATAAATTTTGAAACTGTACATAATAATATAGTTACTATGCAATAGTTACAAAAATTGACTACTTTCTAATGAGCAGATTGCGCCAATATAGGTACAATAACCAATTAATTTCTAATTTGTTGAGTGACTGCGTATTTTAGCCGACTGCAGAAAGTTTACTGGCCCGCCCGTCGCCTGCAGCGTCGTTCCTTCGTGACTCAGGACCGCCTGCTCATCGGGGACGGAACTTCCACTTGAGGAGTGTTTAACGTCGTGCTGGCCGGACTGGGTGACATGCAAGCGTCTTCCGTATTGTCACCCTCCAAATCTGGCATATTTATATACTCAAAGTCTGGAATATTTCCTGTATACGATATTAGCTGATTCCCTTCAACTGAAAGTCACCCAAGAAAAAACATATTGTCAGTAACCATACATAAATCGAGCCAAACACAGAGAATGCTTACATTATCAGAAAAATAAGTTTTTGTAACAATGACTTCAAGGGTCGAGTGACTATTTACCCCAATGGGTCTAGTCCGTAAGATTTTTTTTTTACATTTCATGTAATTTCAGATGTAAGTATCCTTGCTTTGTAATTTTACTTCGATTATGACTATTAAATGTTACAAATATTTTGATTGTAATGAATTAACACATAAATATAGAATAAAAACCATGCGAACATCATTTTAACCCCACACCAAATGCAAAAAATTGTTATGATCTTCACATCGTTACTTCTAATTATAAATTGTAAATACACCTTATATAATTATAAAGTACCATCTAAATTCTACTATAAAAAGCACGTTCGTCATATCGATCATAAATGTACAGCCTAAAATCGTTGAAATATGTAATTATTAGAGATTAAAATTATTAAGACAGTAAATTAGTCAAAGGGTTATTGTTATGCTCGATTTTCAGACACAAAAGCGTATTAAATGCACCATGAACTGCATTGACACTATATTGATCCATTTAAGAAAATATTATAAAAAAATACTTTTGTCAACTTTATTATAAATAGCCTAAATATTTATAATAAAGGCCAAACTATCAAAATATCATTATTTATAACTATAAGAAATGAACTGATGAACTTACAACTACCTAATACCTGTCTATTTTTAAGACCGCTACTAATATAATAAACAAAGTACTATATGATAAAAATAAATGTAACTTATCAACTTTTGAAAACGGACTAAATTCGAGTGCGGCACTACAATATTTATAATATAATATGCCATTCAAAAATTGTTTCCACTATAAAAAAGATCTGCCTAATTTATACGTGACTGAATCTGGGTTAGTAATAGCAGAAACTATGAATAAGATTTTTTTTTTAAGAGAATGGTTGATTTATCTTCGATCTGATTATTTGGATTAGTTCTGCACTTGAAATAATCCGAGTCAGTGATTTGACATTACATTAAGCGCTGTCACTTTACTGGTATGAAATAGTGTAGCCAGATACAAAATTGGTGTCAAAGTCGTTCAACGATAAGAAAAATAAATATCGTAACATAAATTGAGCCATGTCAGTCGCCTGTGGCGAAAACCTGACACCAGGGTAATATAAAATAGGACGATTTGAAGATATAATGTCTTATGTAGATTGAATCAAGGGCTATAATGTTGTTTTTTTATTATTATTTCGGAAAGCGTATTTATTACATAATATATTAATCGTTAATCTTAGATGGCAACTTAGATAAACTTATTAATAAAAATGACTGTAACATAATTTAAATATTCATGAATATGTACTATAGTTGAATATTTGGTTGTTTTGCATTTATAATGCTAAATATATTATGTATACATACTACGAACAAGCAACAATGCTAATATCACTTTACTGACTCGCATTATAGGTATTATGATTACAGTATTATGATTCTTTTTGATCCCTGTTTCAGTCACTATTGCTGCAAGTTATTTTATTTGACAAGCGGAACAAACTACATTCGAATCATGCACTAAAGTAAGTGTTTAAATAAAGTGCATTATTATTAGTACCGTCATCATCCGTACACTGGACCTCCACGTGTTCGTCTTCACCGTTTAGATCGGTAATCTCACCTTTCTGCTTCTTTGCTTTAATTAATAACAAAACATATTTTCTATAGTACACTTAGATAACATTAATTACAAATAAACCGTTAAGTTTCCTATTGTATAATCTTAATAAACTATCTATATTATTGTAATCCCTTACAACATTTCTAACATTCCACACACATCATGTCGCGACAAAAAACATTTTCAGAAGATTAACACTTTGTACGTCATATGATTTTGTGTGCGAAAATAAACTCTATTATGATAGTTATACAATCTAAATAACGAATAGGTACAATGTCGAAGCTTATAGTCTTTAGGAATATTCTGTTATTTTTTCGCAACAAAAGCTTTCATACTTCTCTCACATAACAAATCGATGTTATCAACCAGAATTTGGTAGAAAAATTAATATTTAAACCAGCATAAAACAAACAGGGGCTGATTTTCTGCAATACTTAACAAAATATTGATGCTGTCACGTGACTGTACTGGTCAGTTGTTGTAACATTCATACACTGTGATCGCATTACAGGAGTTATTGTCACTAGAACCGGATCTTCTGCCGCGACATCAACCGCTTGTGCCAGCCACGAGTTGTAACCACCACAATCATTATACCCCTTTACCAAAAATATCCAATTCGTCACATTAATGACGTTAACTAATTTCTTGCGAAAATCTTGAAAGTTCAGTAGGTAGCAGTAGTGACAGGCTACTTGCCAGTCGAGGCCTCACAGTTACCGATCAGCCAATCAAAATCAATCATCGGATACTGTTTTGTTGTATCTACAATTAACACAAATGTGAATAAAACTTTGAAATTATTTTACATGTCATAACTAAACCTTTTTGCAGCCCGCGGTTTAATGGTAAAGCGAAGATTAGCGTAAACGCTGGATTTCTTTTTTATGACGATTAGTATGAAAAATCTCTTGGTATTACTATCACTGCACAAGTAACCAGGACATATAAATTAATGAATCTCACTTTGTCACTGTGTGCATAGTTCATTATTAACGTCATTTTTCACATTTTAGTAGTATGTTATTTATTTATCTACTACACATTTTCGCTTTCCGATTAGAAGACAATTTTTTTTCCAAGTAGGTTTTTGAAATAGTGGTTTCTAAGTATATTTTTAAATGTAATACCAAACTTTTTATTGTATTGTTACATGCATAACATAAATAAACATTTTTTACAAATGCAGACATAATTTGGGATACATTGAGTTATTTGAAGTGACGATATAGATAAGGCGACCTATGACATGAGAGACTAAAAGAAAAGTAAATAATATAAGGGAGGACTGTATGGTCAACTTACCACCATTGGCCGCTTTCGTTCTATCATCCATAGTATTGTAAGATAGTCCATAGAAGGGATCGTCGGAACCAAATAGCTGAAAAAAAAGTTTTAATCATCATCAATTTATTCATTATCAAACCATGAAACGAAGGACAACACCATGAAGATGCGCCAAACGCCGATATCTCTGTAAGTACAGATTAGTTAGGTTAAAATTATACATTCCACTAAATATAATAATTAATCAATTGTTATATTCGGTAAAAATTACAATTGACGCCTGTTACTAGTCAGCAATACAAATACATCAAAATTATGGTTCATAAAAATGGATGTGTACGTCATTTTATATCTTATGTGTGTTTTACTGTCCGATTTTTATAATTCCAAACTAACGATAAGAAATAAGTATAAACGAGGTTACGAGTATTTCATAGGCATTTAATTCGAATCAACATTAAAATTAAATTAGGACAATGCCAAAATCAACAATATCAATACAACATAATGGAGTGGAGTCCGGAGACGAGCAAGCTAGCGATAATATAAGAGATTAATTGCATTTTCTTAGATTTTAAAGATATATTTTTTTTAATAAAAGAATTAACGAGTTAACCTTTTGTAAACGAGTGATACTGATGAGTGCGCGACGTAATGGAATTTGTGGAATCGCCATAAAAGGCGATCAAATCAGAATTTTGTCAAACTTGTTTGTAATTTAGGGTAGATAGTCACTCTTCCACTCCCACTTCAAAAGAAGAATACGAGCTCTACCGACTTTTAAATTTTATTTTCTTGGTTTAAGCTTGCTTTTGTAAGTACGTATTCGCAAGTCTGCCACGCGCAAGACTCTCCTTTCCATCTCTCTTGATATATGAGTAGCCGCCTCAAGGTATTCAAACTAAGAAACCTCTGGTTTGCTAGTTCGAGTCCTGTATACGGCAATGTAACTTTTTTTTTACTTGACGCGTTAAAAGTTTAAGTCACCTAAGTGGCTTGGTAATTCGTGTGATTATTGGAATATTGTGTAATTTTGAAACCAGTGTAATGATAAAGTATAATAATTTTATGTACCTTGTTGACAGAGTTTATGTCAGAGGGTCCTGCAAGCATATTCTGACAATTTGATGATGATTCCACCTTTTTAAATAATACATTTTCGTTATAGCAAAACTTTCATATTCGTAAATGGTAATTAAAAAACATCTGAATCCACAGCTTAAATCATTTGTAGGCAACAGTACCTCGATAAGGACACCCGCCAAACAAATGTAATTTTGAAAACAAATGTTCGAAGTACTCACTTTATGTGCCGTCATGATTAATTTTTATGAAAGACCTAACTCCTTCATTTTCTTATGTAATTGAAAATAACTTGTCTAAATAGCTGAGCAAAATAGTTAAAAGGAAATATGAACCTTACTGTGTTTATGTTTATCCTCCTACAGGGCATCGAGTAATACGACTGAAAAAAGTATAAGGTATATAAAAACATGCTGTCTTACTTACGCTCCCAATAAGTCTATTTTCTACTACATATTTACATTTATTCACTAAGAAAAACATGTTTACTTTAAAGTTAAAGCATTAGAGAAACTGAATTTCAGTTTACATGAGCGAAAATCACAATCAATCTTCTATGTCTACATTTTACCTAAATAAATAAATATAGCATTCAGGAAGCCACAAAGGGTTTCTATTGCCTTTAATTTTACATTTTTTCCACGTAATAGACTTATTAATTCATAAAGTACCACTTCCTTCCCCAAAAAATAATATTACCTTGTTTCCATTGATCAGAATACATACAAAGTAAATTAGGACGACATTCAATTGTTTAAAAATGTTAAAAATAGATGTCGAAGATAAGATACCCAAGACAAGACTCAAGAAAACTTTACAGAAAAATATTTATACAGAACGATCTTATTATATTATGCTATTGGCTGGTATAACAATAATACAGAATGTGTAATTTCAAATTCAATTATTTCAGAGTCTCAGCTAGTTAATGTTGCAGATTTAGTTTCCACGCGTGAAAAATTAACCTTGTATTGGTAGATGAAAGAAAATAGCATACAGGGTATAAATGGGAAATGAGCTTGGAGATAAGCCGTACAAAAATTGGTTAAACATATACAGCACGACATAGCAAATATTTTCAAATGTATTAACTCCGCAGCGGCTTTGAAAGTTAATGAGAATTAACATTCAAAATGTAAGTAACGAAAAAGCTTTGATTTCAATTGTGTAATTACCATTTAGGAATGGTAGATACACATGGTGTAAGAGACAGGTTAATAAAAACTTAAACCATGAACACGGATCACATTCCCGAATTCACACACGGAATTTCACATTTCCGTAATTTAATTTACTTTTTTTCTCTTTTTTTTAATACACAAAATACTGATTCTGGAGTATTGGAGTGACTTTCAGTATTTAGTTTTAAAATTTTGCAAGTAATCAAGTATTTTTCTCAATTCTATTGTATTTTTAGTGTAAAATGGCATAGTTAAACATTATTTTACATTATAAATATAATCAGTTTTTTAAATTGCGAGAATGTCGTGAATTTAAATAGCAGATTTGACTACTTTCACCAAAGAATTATGATCTGAATTAAAAGTTTAAACATTTACCAACCTATCCTTTACACCCTGTATAATCCACGATTACTAATTAAATATGATGATAAGGAATAAAGTTGTGCATAAATACTCTTTACGTAATGTGAGTTTGTATCAATTTCTCCCACCTATTTGGATAGTTGTACCGATTCAGGTAATAGATCATAGAATCCACTTTGCATTTATTGGTTTTGAGTGCCAAAATCATTGTTAAAAATTAAAACTGTCTCTATCTCTAGATACAAACGATGAGCGAGCATAGAGATTACCACCACGCACCACGTTGGCACACTAGTTTGTTTTATTTCTATGTTGTTTTACTTTAATTTTCGTATGATCATTGATTCTTACTTTGAATAAATTCTATTTTTTTCTAATGGGTAAAGTTAGTGACTTCTCCACAAAGTCAAAATAGGCTATCGAAATACAAAGTAACTTTCACGAAACATGTTTGCTTTATGTGGAGGCTCATAACACGGTAAGATAATCCTATAAAGCTGCGATGAGCAAATTATCGGCAAGTTCTACTGGTTATTTTGTTTTGTAGATGACGCATTGTTATTGAAACTTGGAACGAACCCCAAATTGCTAGTAGGAATGGACTAACTAGCACGTTAATAGTTTGATTGAAGATTACCTCATACAAAAAAAACTTTGTATATCAGAAATGTGAGGATAGCTACAATAATTATGGCACATAAATATCTTAAATTTTTATTGCTATTGCATAGCAAAGTTATTAAAATCAATCGTGTTGCTATGGATACAGTTGAGGTAAACTGAAAACAGGTTTATATGCCAACAAAACCCAACATAATTAATTAATGTTCAAGAAAAAAACTCGTTTAGAGTAAAATATCGAATTCTCCTTGTTCAACAATTCAAAGGAGGCACGGCGGAAATCGCAGTTTAATTTATGCGGAATTTAAAATATACACAAATGTGAACTTGAATCGAAGTTTGACATCGGTTCATTAACATTACCTACACTGTATCAAATCAAATGAATGAAACTAATATAAAGGATCTTTATTGATATAAACAGGTAACAAACAACCTGCGTCACAAATTAGGTAATCATGAAAGTCGCCGAGATACAATATCGCGAAGTCGACCCACAATGTTGAAGTTACAGCTGTGTGCGTGTAAAATTGCCTGGGTTCCGAGCAATTTCACACGCACACACACGACGCCGCACGAGGTCCCTACACGTTGGCTGCAACGTGACTCGGAGCTGCGTTGCCAACATGCCAACAGAAGCGTCATTGTTTACATCGAGCTGCGCAAGTGTGTGCGTGAGTTGCCGTTCGCTCGATGTAGGGGGGTGTGAAATAAACGCGCGAAATACGAATTCCTATCAGTGGACATTGCTCCGTCATACAGTAACAAGTTAGCCTTGTATATTATAAAAAGCGTTAAAACTAATGTTTGAACTTGTTCCTACAATATATTTAGATCTGTTGTACGTATTTAATATTTTGTATTTATATTGGCCTAGGTTAAATACTTTTGTAGCACTATGATCAACCTGATGTTTACGACTTAGTTAATTTTTACAAAACAAATAAAACTTTTGATTGATTATGAAAAAGTTATTAAATTTTGTTGTAACGGTGATTATGCACAATTCTTTATTACAAGTATTAGTTTATTATGACGAAACTTATGAATGAAAACGAACTGTAGATGATAAAAAATAATATTGGTTCTTACCCCCATCAACGTGTTGGTGTCAAAAGCATAAGAATCACTTCGCAAAAGTTCCCTTAGTGACTCAAGATCTGTTTGCATTGAATCCAAATGGTCATCTATGTCATTTCTGAAACATTACAACAATCGATTAGACAAGAACCTTAGTGGTTTAATTAAAAAAAAACAGCATTGATTTATAAATTGCCTAAAGCATAAATACCTTTTTTTCTTCCTTATTGGAAGTGGATAAAAATAATAATGACCTTTGATACATTGAGATAATGAAAAACGTTTATACTATCTCTTTTTACACCAAAACCATGTTAATTAATTTAACAATTAAATATTAAATTAGACTACGTTTTTAACAGCACCCGTAATAAAAATTAGTCAGTATCATTGGTTCAAAAACTACGTGTTCAAGCATTTCATTGCCGAATTAATTATATTAGCATGAAGAGTAGCCGCAGCACTGTTCTTAACAAAGCCTATAAGTATGTGAGATTCAGATATTTAGCAATTTTCGTTGTGGAAAGTATTTTTAGTATAGTATTGTTTATTATCATAATTCAGTACTATCCATCATTCGTAGAAATTTTGTAAGTTCAGTATAGATACTTATAGACAAGAAGCAGATATTACATTTTAAGAACAACGTAACATGTGTCAAAATATCAATAAATATTTATAGCATTTGCCAACAGTGTTATTCAAAAATACTGGTTATTCACATACTTGTTTGCATTTGTTCCAAATAGAGAAGCAAAGTCTTCTCTGTTTATGCCGATGTTATCTCTTCTATTCCTGAATATCAAATAACAATCACTTTACATACAATAATGATAAAATTACCAGTCAGCCATTTTCCTTGGTGATAATTAATAACCCAATTAAAAGTTTGACCTTTTTTGAAAGTTTGAAATAATTGTTTAAGTATAAAATAAATAAATATATTGGATATTTAACAAGAGTTCAAGACAAACATACCTTGATTGGTATCTATTTACATTAGTGTTGTTATTGATAGTAGCCAAAGTCATATTATTCCAGTCCAAGTCATCCTGAAGTTCCGTCTTGATATCAGCTAGGTTCAAATTCATATTCTCGTTGTTTTTAGCTTCTTTTTTGGACTTCTTAGAACTCTTGGATGTTGCTGCTGGTTTTTCTATTTTAATATTAAGACCAGTACCCAACATTTTGTCCTTGGAAGGTTTGCAAATATCTCCAGACAGTAATGTATCCTGCAAATTCTGCACAGCGATATCCTCTGCTGTAGCCAAGCCAGCGTCGCTCACAGAGTCGTCACTGGCGAATATCTCAGCAGGAAGTTTCAAATCTGCTGATGGGTTCATAGAATTAAAGTTTGCAGAATTCATCATGCTTCTTGCATTTTTGTGTCCATTAACTCTTGCTTTAGGTTTGGACGTTCCAGGTGAAGCCATCACATTGTTAACTACTTGTCCAGGTGATGTAGGATCAGCTACTGGCGAGTTGACGACAGGTAAGGTTTCCGTCGTGTTTAAGGTATTCCCATTTGTCCTGTTTGCTGGATAGAAACGGATTGATGCAGCTCCATCTGCAAAAAGTATTTTCTTTAACATTAAACATAGCACTGATTTTAAACTATTGAATTAAATTGTACTGTCTCTTTTGTGTGTACATATTTCTTTTTCATTTCTGTACATTAAAGTGTTAATTTATCTATCTATTGAGTTTTACTGGGAATTTATGTGTTGTGTATGTGTTACGTATGTGTTACTTACAAACTGTCGCCACAATCTCGGCAGTGCAGTAGCATGGCTGCATAGATGACTACATAGTATTGAGTATATTTTAACAATTTTTATAATAATACCTGTCTCAACATCATCTCCATCTTCCATGGTAACTTGGTACTGCAATGCCGAGGGGTCAGTAGGGCTAGGGTAAGTTGTAATACCGGGAACATCAATCGAGACATAATTAGCAGCATCCAAGGGATCTTGAGACGCATCATTGTGGCAAATATCATCATGGACAAGTTCATGAATCGTGGGGCCATCTTCCTGCAAACCAATAAAAATAACAAATGAAAAACTGTTGAAACATTGTAAAACAAATAAAAAAATATAATTAAAAGATTGGTTACATTAAATCCTGTGATAATTATTAAAACCCAAGCTAGGTTTTGTATGTTTAAAATTTTAATACATATTTCAACTAATTGTTCATTCGTTTCAGCCAAATGACATCCATTGCCGGACAAAGGCCTCCCCCAATAAAATAAATTAATAAAAGTACCAAATTATTTTCTTCATTCAATTCTTCAAGAAGGCCATCTTTGTCCAATTTGATATTTTTCGCCTTGTTGGGATAGCCATCAAGTGTGTTGTGTGCTGCGCTATTAATCATCAACTGGTAAGGTCTCTTTACTCCAACATTGTTGCCACCAGGAGGAGGTGGTCTTGCAGGCTGCACCAATGACATCAGGAATTGGATTAACTGGAATGAAATAAAAAATTGACCATTATTTTTAGTTTTTACCTCGTGTCATTTCAAAACCCAGATGTTTCAAAAAATCTGAAAATGAATTTTCAACGGATCAAAAAATCATGGCCTTGGCCTGTCAACTGCATTAGTATTTTAAACAATCACATCACTCAAGGAAGCTGAGTAATATTGCAAACTAAATTAAGATATTTATAATTAGTATACTGATTTAAATCAGTCAATTGCTATACAATACTGATTATTTATGATTTATTCATCGCCATTTTGTTTTATCATGACATAAATCGTCTTTCGGCATCCAAAATCGCAAACATAGCGTCTTTTACGAAAACCAGATTTTTATGTTATTCAATTCCGTTTTAATTGGATTTCAACCTATACTTAACTCTTTGGCTGATATTGGCTTAATTATTGTCACCAGTTTTAAATTTCATTAGCCATATTTTGAACCTTATTACTGTTTTAAAGGTCCAATGAAAAATATGAATGTTTATTTTTTTTAAATCTACTCTGGTCCTGATATTATCGCGAGTCATCCAAAACCGCGAACATAATTTCCCGCCAGAACCGCAAACACGTCAGTTCCTCAGTGCCGAATAATCACCATAAAAGCGCCACTGCAGTATCACAATCGTTCGTTCGTTCGTTTCAGCCAAATGACGTCCACTGCTGGACAAAGGCCTCCCCCAAGGTTTTCCACACTGGAAGACGTAGCGTGGGCAGGCCTCCTACTAGGTGGACCGACGATCTGGTATCACAATCATACAAAGATTTTTGTCCCCTGTAAAATTTTACCAATTATAAATCTGCGGAAGTCAATGCCGAACAACGATAAACTTCTAGGAGCAGACATGTTAATGGCTCCAATAGGGATTTTATAAGTTGTGAATTGTGACAAGTGTTTGATAAGAGAGTTCATCTTTGTCAGTAACAAAAATCTCATTATCACTTGTCACTAAACCATTCACAGCCAGGCTTAGTAATTAAATATTTTATCAACTTACATTGTTAACAATTTGCTGTTGCTTGATGTGTTTTTGACGAAGAATTGCTACCTCCCTCCACAGGGCTTCATTCTCTTGCTTCATGGCACTAAATTTTGCATCAAGTGTTTCTTGTTTACCTTTCATCTGTTTTACATCAGCAAGAACTTTGTTCATGAGCTCAGGTTTAAGAAGTATCTTCTCACCACTTTCACCACTGGTCACAATAGATTTGGGATTTGCTATCTTTCTTTTAATATGCTCCAAAAGATAAGCATGACCCCTCATGAAGCAGTGATGGGAAAACTCAATTTCATCTTTTTCATAGCGTAAACCTCCATTCTCTACAGATGTTATTTTATGAAATCCATACATATTTAATTGCCTTATAAAACTTGCCATATTATTGTGTTTGTAATAAAGGGGTAACAGTTCCCGAGCGAAATCTGCTTGGTTTTTTATTACAAATGTTTTTCCTCCCTGAAATATTAAAAAAAAAGTTTAAATGAATCCTACAATCCTGCCCAACGGAGGAGTTTTGTTGCAAAATAACTTTTATTAAAAGTGCGTAAGATGGCACAGTGTTTAGCCTAATTTGTCGTCTGTACAAGTGTCATTTTAATAAACATACGATTTTACCCATAAATTTTCAGAACATTAATTGAAGTCTGATGAAAACTAAACCTAAATTTTAGATTTATCCGAACATAAGGTCAATATGTTAACCAATTTCCTAAGCAGAGCTGAGAGCATGGATTAAAACGTGACTAGATATTTATGTATTTATGTCGGCAATCAGTGACGGGCCGTCAGCTTAAATCAAAATTTTAGGTTGTTTTCGTAATACTTTCTACATGTAATAAATCAACATTATAGTAACTATACACTATAATGTGATAATTTGATAAATACTTGACAAAACATAATACAAAAACAAACAAATTAAGTACTTACGGGGCTCCATGAAATCAAATGATTCGTCTCAGTATCATTGACCAGTTTCCACAGTTTCCCAAGAAAAGCAGGGACACTAGCACCTATTTCCACAACAGACCGCATTTTAATAACGGAAATAAGTATTAATAGGAGAACTTTTTGCGTTTTTTTTTACTGTAATAGCGATAAGATTCCTTTTGTACACATCAATAGTTATCGTTCACGAATCGCCATTTATTGCACCACCATACACATTGACAAAAAACCAGCCATGAATACACTCACACATAAACATTCGCGATACACATACATTGTGCCAACATAATAATTTAAACCACCACAGAGTAACAAGTAGAGTTCGTAGCCCGCGGGCAACGTCATCTTATCCACAAAAGACAGTGTCAGTGTGAAATTAAACAAAATAAAAATGAGTGGAGGATTGGCTCGGCTCATTTTGAAGTCATATTCGGTTGTCTACGCTCCACCCAGCGCCCATCTGCTGCTTCAAAGGCTTTGGACCAAAGCCCGAAATCTTTCAGTTCGAGCTGCAAAATCGTTTGCTGATCGTTTCTGAGTCCGTACTCCGTAAACGTCAAGTATTAGTAAGGTGACCTTGCACCGCATTGCACCGTATCCTTTTCTTTCTCAAAGCGATAAATCGATACTTAGAATCGATTTAATGGTTTTAAACCATTTTTAGGGTTCCGTAGTCGAATGTCGGTTTTGTCATCAAACACATACGTGTGGGGTATCTATGGATAGGTCTTCAAAAATGATATCGAGGTTTCTAAAATACTTTTTTTCTAAACCGAATAGTTTGCGTGAATCTAAAAAAAAACATTATACTATAAAAACTACCAACGAAAATTGTTTTGAACGAGATCTAGTAAGTAGTTTTTTTTTAATAACTCGTAAATCGTAACCGCTTATTACCGCGTAATCTTTCATACAAATAACTTAAATAAAAAAAAAATTTTTTAATTTCATAAATCAATGGTACGGAACCCTTTGGGCGTGAGTCCGACACGCACTTGGCCGGTTTTTTTTCGAAGTTTTTCGTCAAGCGAGAACACATTGGCCATCTAAAAAAAGTATGCAGAGGAGAAATAATTAAAGATTTTCCAAAAATGAAATGAACACAATATTTTATGTATTTCAACTCCCATTTAAGAAACATAAAAAAATAATGATTTTTAAAATTTATCAATCAATATAAAAAAAAACTAGACCCTGAACATACCTTTTTTTTTCAGTTTTTAGATGCAGTCATTATCAGTCATTATCTAAAAACCGATGTTAATACCTTAATTAGTTACTTGTTTTCTTTACAGTTAATTGTTACCAGTACTTAAACTAATCTATAGAGACTTNAAAGACTTACAAAATCTAAATACTAAAGTATTCTAGTATTTAAAATATCGAGTCGATATAATTTTATCTTTATTACAACACTAATGTAAATTCAACAAATCACTGCACTGGTTGACTTCATACTCTCTAATCTGTGGTTGACTGATGAATGACGGACGGACGGACTACGGAGCTCGCTCGCATCGACTCACATCGACTCGCACAGATCGACTCGTCGCACAGTGGTCTGAAAATGAAGCTCCCATACCATAGAAACTTAATGTCAGAAATTAATAAATAAAAATATGCATTGTGTTTAGTATACCTCCCTTTGTTTTACTAATATAGTATGAAGGGTATGAGTACCTCCATGTGTGAGAAAAAAAATATTTTATTTTTTTTTGTATGGAAAAAAACACTTAAAGTGGATTTTTTTTAAACTGAATAGAACTGAAGGGCTGGTACTCACATGAGCTATTGCACCATACATGGCGATCAAGATGACATACAATTCTTGTGCCGTTGGTTGCCGCTTTGCACGTAGNAGAGACTTACAAAATCTAAATACTAAAGTAAAGTATTCTAGTATTTAAAATATCGAGTCGATATAATTTTATCTTTATTACAACACTAATGTATAGTTCCAAAATACTGGACTGTCCTGTCGATGACATTGACAGTGGGGCGCCACCGTCAATACCGGATCGCTGGTTCAGATTTTTGCCATGTTGGAAACCATATAGTTGAACGATGGTAGCGCCCCCCTGTCATTGAGTTTGGCGGGACAGTTCAGCGTGGGTCATCTATAAATTCAATTCAACAAATCACTGGTTGACTGATGAATGACGGACGGACGGACTACGGACGGAGCTCGCTCGCTCGCATCGACTCGTCGTCGCCGTCGTTTCTTTCGGTCTGTACTAATTTGCACAATGTTTGCACATTCATTTTTGTAAAATTCATTGATTGATTGCCATTGGCGGATTTACCATAAATTAACAACATTTTATGGCAGGCGGGAGTATTCTTTGGGCTGTATTGCTGTACATAGAAACACAGGTTGACGTGATTTGAAGAGATCTAGTTGTGTGGCTACAGAAGAAAATGGAAGTAAGTCTTTTTGCAGTTTTGTGTAGTTAAGTAAAAATATCATTATCATTCATATCATTTCTATCCCTGCCATTTCAGATCGAAATTTTAAGCGTCGCCGGTTCTAAGCCGCTTGGAAAAATACAACTGAAAGAAGATGCAACGGTAAAAGACGTAAAAGATAAAATTCATAGAAGTATAAAGAAGTTTCTTTACCCTGACCGTCAAGCTATCAAATTAGAAGCAAAGGGAAAAGCTTTGAATGATGAGGATTCACTGAAATCCTTAAATGTGCAAAATGGTGCCAAGTTGTACTTAAAAGATCTGGGTCCTCAGATTGCTTGGAAGAATGTGTTTTTAGCTGAATATGCTGGACCTCTCCTTGTCTATTTATGGGTTTATCAACGTCCATGGCTCGTTTATGGTGCTCAAAATTCTTCCCCTGGAGCTGTTGCCAAGTAAGGCAATGTCAAATTTAATATTTTGTCAATTGTAAGACTCATGCTATCTAAGTAAAGTGTTAACCTAAATATGTACAATTTTTCAGTGTTGCTGCATTATGCTGGACTGGACATTATGCTAAGAGGCTCTTAGAAACTTTATTTGTGCACCGCTTTTCTCATGGCACAATGCCACTCAGCAACTTGTTCAAGAACTGTGGATATTACTGGATGTTTACCTTATATGTGGCATACCACGTCAACCATCCTCTATACACACCTCCAAGTGATACCTGGTTCTATGTTGGTTTGACTGGTTTTGTAGTAAGTACATTTTTGGCACACCTTTACATAATGATACCAAAAGTGAAATAAAACGGTACAACAGTTAAATAAATTAACAAAGTCTTGATTAACAAGATTACGTTATCAGTACCTATACTATGTATTTATCTTTACTTTTAAATGTAATGAATGTTTGAGGCATGTTTTAAAATTAATTTATCCTTTGAAATTATCAATTATTGTAAGCTTTATTATTTTCCTTTCAGCTGTGCGAATTGGGAAATTTGAGCATTCACATTTTGTTGAAAAACCTCAGGCCACCGGGCACCAAAGTGCGACGAATCCCTGTTCCTGATGGAAATCCTCTAACTCAACTTTTCAACTTTGTCTCTTGTCCCAACTATACCTACGAGTTTGGATCATGGCTCTTCTTCACAATTATGACCAAATGTGCTCCAGGTAAATATTTTATTTACTCACTGTAAAAGTTTTCCTATCCTGTACTTGATATTTCATGCGGAAGAAAGTAAGCTAAGTTTGTTTATGATTTTAACTTCTCACCGTACAATAAGTGAAATAATCGCTCAGTAAGATGATCATTTTTACTCGTTTTATGTCCCTCGCGTGATTGATAGTCTCAATTTATTTAAAATGTCATTGAGAGAGGAAAAAAAAAATGTATCAATGAATTTAAATGATACTCCTATAAAGTTTATAGGTGTATCATTTAAATTCATTGATACATAATATAGACATGGTTGCCTAGTCTCAAAGAAGACATACTACTAACTAACGTATATTTATAGTATAAATGTTACGGCTAAAGATAGGTGTGAACATAAACTTAAGATTAGCCGGCTAAACTTGAGTTTATTTTCGACGAGGTGTTAATGTTAGTTTCTTCTATCTTTAGCCGGCTAAACTTAAGTGTAACAGTAGGCCCTTGGCTAAAAATGTAGAAGGAAATGGAAAAGGAAATAATGTAATAATGTATATTATTTTGACACGAAAACTTTATTAAAAAATAATCACTTTCATTACACTTCCTTTTATATACCTATCNAAACATATGAATTGGTAAGTAGATTGTGATTCCAATTTATTATACTTGATGTATGTCTTCTTTGAGACTAGGCAACCATCATGTCTAATACTTGACTATACATCTATTTTTAGAAATCTTTAAAAACATTAAAACTTATGGAACTGAACTTCACCCAATGTTGTAGGAAGATTAAAATCTCATGTATATTTAACGCCATGAACTTTGACATTTGTTAATCGGCATTTACATAGGAAATATAAATTTCCAATTCATTTGAATTGTATGTAATTGTCTGCGCGCATTTTCGTAGTTTCATGAATGTCTTTGAATTGCAGTCTGTTTCAGTAAACCGCAGTTCTTACATGTAAAAAAGGAACAGGTTTTAGATAGTGTTATATTTAATTTAATGAGTCATATGAATTTGTATGATATTGATTGATATACTATAGACCCATTCTTAAAGCTAGTTACCTGTTATGAGCTCTTATAATCAAAGTCAAAATTACCTTGATACTTGATACCATTTTTTAGAACCTTATTGATTTATTCTTAATTGCTATAATATTATCTGCTCGAACTTTGAACGGTCGTTACCGTGAGTAGACGAAACGTACTAGATATTTTATTACACCCATTTGTGGAGGCCAATAGTCGTTTATGACACTTAAATAAATCTCTTGAGATCGCTAAGGCTGTGGTCTCCTATAATATGTATAAATGCCGTAGGCCGCGAACAGCGTCATGCCGTATAGTCCAGTAGAATTAGATTTTAAATCGGAAATAATTCCTACAAAAGATTTTATTGCTTTAATGGCTTCATTATTTGCCCATTAAGACTCTCCTAGGTTTTCGACTTCGACGGAGTTGTGCTTAAGTGGTGGGGGCCCCCGAAAGGGGCGCTTTTTAGGTTTTCCGGATATACCGCGTAAATGACTTACCCTATCGAAAAGTGGTCTTCTTGACGGTTGAAGGGCATTTAATCCTGCATTAAATAAGACCAAATTCATATGTTTTGGACAAACCGTTCTCGTGCAATTGTTCGGCAAAGTAGAAAATATGTGTATAATTAATGACCCTCTCCACGTCCAATAGCTCGTCACCCGTAGGCTCCCAAGCTTTGTAAAGGGTCGCCTTAACCAGCGTATCCCTGTCAAGGCTCACGAGTTGGATTCGCTTATCCTTGTTCGTCCCAGCCGTTCCTTATCTGCGGTTGCTGCACCTCTTCCTGGCACTCTCCTGAACGACTCTGTGTTACCTAATGTGGCTGCCCCTCTTCCTTGTACCCTCCTGTACGATTGCATTACTTAGCCATATGCCTGGTCCAAGGTTCGACGCCACAAAATCAACTTCGTACGCGTGAAAATAGTTTAAATACTATTTTCCGTGCTTGCAACATTTTTCTTTACTGCTTCGCCTCTATTTGTCGTAAAGTGATTGTATATATTCTATAGCCTTCCTCAATTTATGAGCTATAATACAACACAAAAACAATTATTTCAATCAAACTAGTAATTCTTGAGATTAGCGCGTTCAAACAAACAAATTAAAAACTCTTCAGCGTTTTAATATGAACTAGTTGTTGTTGATTTTTGGCGTCGAACCTTAGACCAGGCGTACGGCTAGGCAACGTAGTCGTGCAGGAGGATACAAGGAAGAGGGGCAGCCACAGTAGGTAACACAGAGTCGTTCAGGTAAGTGCCAGGAAGAGGTGCAGCAACCGCAGTTATGGAACGGCTGGAACGAACAAGGATAGGCGCATCCAGCTCGTAAGCCTTGATAGGGTTACACTGGTTGAGGCGCTCCTTTTCAAGACTTGGAAACCTGCGAGTAACAAGCCATTGGACGTGGAGAGGGTCATTAATTATACACATATTTTCTACTTTGCCGAACATTTGCACGAGAACGGTTTGTTCAAACATATGAATTTGGTCTTATTTAATGCAGGATTAAATGCCCTTTAACCGTCAGGAAGACCACTTTTCGATAGGGTAAGTCCTTTACGCGGTATAACCGGAAAACCGAAAAAGCGCCCCTTTCGGGGGCCCCCACCACTTAAGCACAGCTCCGTCGAAGTCGAAAACCTAGGGGAGTATTTATGGGCAACTAATGAAGCATTAATGCACTAAAATCTTTAGTAGGAATTATTTCCGATTTAATTCATTTTTGTGTTTAATTCTACTGGCCTAGTAGGCCACTTCACAATGATAAATTAAGCCTAGGCGCAGACCACCGTCTTTTAGTTAGTCGATAGTTGGGCCCGATTCTAATTTGTATGAAGAATCAGCCGATATCAAATCCGTGTAATGTGCGCCAATATCGGCCAACTAAGAGTCGGTGGTCTGCGCTTAAGCTAATGTACCTACTGTTGTGGTCTCTTTCAGAAGTTGACGTCGGCGTATGGCGTCGATAGGAACGTTTGTTGCTGACGTCGTACGCCGCGTATAGCTTTAATAGGGAGACCATAGCCTAAGCCTTGTAATTACTTTTAACTGTGTTATTTGCGTTTTATTTATTTATTTAAGCGACCTAGGTACTTATAATCCTGTACTTATGGTGCATTATTATTCTACACCTGCCCATAAACTTGACTGAGTGACTTCAATAATATTTATCTTATGATTTTTCATTCCAGCTGGTTTGTTTGCGGCGGCCGGCTTCTATCAAATGGCTGTTTGGGCACTCGGCAAACATCGCAACTACAAGAAGGAATTCCCGGAGTACCCTAAAGGACGCAAAGCCATCTTGCCATTCATCCTTTAAGTCAATATTTTTTATTTGTCCCTTCAAAACATTAGTAGTTAGTTGTAGGGGACCGCTTCTTAGTTTATCTAAATCTAATCTTATAATAGCCCCTTTAGCTGTTTAATATCTCATTGATTGTCCCGTAAAGCAAAAAGCCGTGGTCATGGTATTGCTCTCTAAAAATATTCTATTATTATCTTCTTTTTATATTTGATAGCAAGGATTTACTTTTTGGAATCTGCCATGTCGTAAAATGTGATAATCCACANCAACCACTCTATATCTCTACTGTTATTTATAATCCACACTGATGGATGATCCGGTAAACCAGACCACGGCATCTTTGTGTGTGTATATCACCGTTATTTAAAATTGCCAGGTAACTTTTATCTAGAGAATAAACTCGTACTGACATATTTTTTCTACATAAAAGTTATAATATATTTAGAATAGCAATTACCACTCTAGCTAGAGTAATAATGGTCAGGTTATGGGTTGGCTGTAGTACAGGTGATGGCTTTATTTATTATGGAATGCATGAAAGTATATTCTCATACAATGAATGAATTGAGTAAGTTTTAATTTTTTTTATTTAAAAAGGGCATTTAAACTTCATAGAACGTCGTTATTTAGTTCTAAGATAATTTTTATGTTACTTTATTTCGGGCAAATATTGTGAAGCAATTCATAGGCAATCAACCAGTGCATTTAAATTTAATAAATACTTTCTTAATCTAAATATTATCGTTATTATTGTACCCACAAAGTTTGTTCAGGCAAAGGCAGGTTTGTTTAGAGAAGGAAAAAATATTCTAGTTCAACCAATTAACTGTTTGGCCATGAGAAGGAAACTAGTCTTAATATTAATAGTAATAGAACAAGCGTAATTAATATTTTTAGTTGCATTAAAAATTCGTCATGATGGAAAATTGTGGTAATTTATTATCATAATAACTTAAAAAAACATCGCTATTCTGTAGGCATGGCAGGTTCGGAGTCGGAAAACCTCGGGATCTCTTCAACGCATCTAATCTTACCGAGAAGACGGTCGTTTTCCTCTTTGAGAGCGACTATTATTTCTTCTCTTTCCTAAAAATGAAACACAATTTATGGTTACAAAGATAATTTCCCTTGAGGTATAGCCGTACATTATTGCGTAGCTTTTTTGGTCTTTGCCGAATTCAAAATTCATTTCTTTCGAAAAAACTTAAAAAAAATTCAAGTTGCAATGCAAAGGATACTGACCTCAATTCTCTGCTTGAATCTTTCATCCAGCTTCTCCCGGTCTTCAGTGAAGTATTTCAACTTCGCTCGAGCGGTGGCAGGCGGAATATATCGAGCCGAGAGTCCAAGGATCGATTCCATTTGGAAGCACCGCGTTCGCGTTGACTTCAGCTCCGTACGTAGGTTGTTGATTTCAGACAACAGTGTGCAGTTTTCCTAAAGCGTAAAGAAATAATTTCGTGTTATAAAAACTAACACAAAATATTTTGTGACGAACATGCTATGAAAAAAAATTTGCTGCTCGTACATTGTCTATTGTTTTGTTTCTTAATTTATCACTGTCATGATGTCTTAATTGTGTGAGACAAAACAACAGTCATTCTTTCCGAGGTTTTTAGGAAGGCTCATTTGTTAATTTCCATTATGTTTTTGGAATGATATCCCTAGAATATCAGAATTAATGTCCCATCACCCCAGAAAAAATCTTTGGACATTAACAAAGGAATAACTAACGTCCATGATCTTGCCGATGTCGCTCTTAGAGCCTCCAAGGGACTTAGCCAGTTGTTGCTTGAGGGCTGCCACCTGCTTCTCCAAGTGGTCGCGCTGGCGGTTGAACTCCCGTATCGCTTCATCCTCCGCGATGCGGCTGCGCACGAAGTCTATATCTTCCACGTATTTGTGGAAGAGAGCCTGGGGAATGAAAAAACAAATGAATTCCTTATGTATAAAATAGGCGAAGTTTCACCATTTGTTAAGCCATTATCATTAAGTTCCTAATAATCTATTAAGAACTTAGGATGATTGTCTAATACTTTATCGGGAAACGGTGTTACTGGCCCTTGGATCCAAAGGTCTCGGATAGAGATATTGGGCTCAAAAGTCAACTGTAATCATCCATTTTTTTTAACTACTTACTTTAACATTGAGTTTGAGTTTAGTTGGGTCTTGGAAATTCGCTGTCATGTTATGTAAATCAATTTTTATCTTTTTCAATGTGTTCTTCAATGTCATATTTCGATCGGCTTCGCTCAGGTAATCCTTCTTGGCCGATGCTAACTTTTCGTTCAGCTGATTGATTTTAAGTTCTGCCACGAAATAAACAATAATAGCATTAGTTACGTCAGAGTCATAATGTTTATGTTTTTACTCAAGTTATAACTTGTTGTCTAGCATCGTAAAATCTGCCAACATATCTAAGTATGCAGATATGAGTAGGTAGGTATACAACACAACTACAAATTAGCACTAGCTAGCTAGTTGATATTCATATGCGAGTGTCGGTAAATGAAAACAAATGGATGTGCTACTAATTAGTTCTAAGTTGTGATGAGGTGATGACATCAATGTATGTAAATGTGAGTAGAGAAAAAAATTACAACTGATAAGTTTACCGCGAAATGATCTCTGCTTTAAAAGGGTTTCGAGCGAAACTTCCAGCTCTAGGATACGTAACTTTTTCGCTTTTATATCACGTTCTAACGGCTCTATCTGTTTAAAATAAAACAAAGGTAGGTATGTTTACATCGTATAAAACTGTAAATGGGCACTAAAATTAACTTTATTACAGCTGTAACTTTTTTCAAATGAAAATGGCTGAGTTCTAGTATCGCAATCACTTTACAGTGCAGTGATTATGACAAACCATACCGAGGTCATGTTTTACGTTCAGTAATTTTAGTTCCTCATTCTCCATGTCATCAATCTGAACCTTAAGTTCTCTGATGGTTCTTTCCTTAGGCTCTATCTATTGATAAGATTATAATTTATAATCCACGTCATTATACACCTAAAAGACAATATTATGATTACGGTTTTACCTGATTTTTTAGTTCAGTTATCTTGAAATTCAAGACAAACTTGTATTTTTCCAGTTCCTGCTTTTTTCTTTTCAATTCATAAATTCTCTTCTCCTTATCTTGAATAGTACCATCTCTTTCTGATATTTCTTTTTTTAGGTCGGCTACGTCTCTTTCCAAAGTAGAAATAACTTTTTGAAATTGTTTATGTTCCGCTGGAAACGTCAACAGTTTGATAAATCATTATTTCAGGGTATAATAAAAATGATTTCATTCGGTTTTACCTTTCAACTGTGAGATTTGATGTTTAAACTCGTCTATTTCTTTATTGGCGCTTATAAGTTTCTTCTTCATGAGTCCGGTCTCGCCTTTTAAACGCACATTGGCGTCTTTCTCTTCTTTCAGCTGCACTTCATACGCCGTTCTAATTTCTATAATTTCACGATCGGCGTCTTCTTCTATTGAGGCCTTTATAGTTTCGTGTTCTTTCGTTTCCATATCAGCTTGCTCTTGTAACTGAGATTTAATTCAATTTTTTAATATTGTCCAAAATAAGAACCATAAGGTTACGTATAGAGTGTTTCTCACCTCTAATAGTAACATGTCCTTCTCTTCGAGTCTCGCCTCAAACATTTTGTTCATTTCTCTGAGAGCCTGGCGCTTGCTTTCGGCGAGGTCTTCCAACCGTTGCTCGTAATCTTTCCTCATTCGGGCTGTTTTGTCTTCGAGGCTCTAACAATAAACCATAATAGTTTTAAAGTTTAAATCTTCATGAAGTTTCTATTACTTATTGAACCTTTACTTACTTGATACCGGTCGTACTCGCTGATGAGTCTAATGTTGAAGTCAGCCTCAAGAGCCTGTAACGTCCGCTCGTGGCCTGAGCGCAGCTTGGCTATGTCTTGCTGGATCATACCAATCTCGTGCGTGTGTTCATTCTCCATCGTCTACAACGAAATGATATTGTAAATAGTGGGAAAATATTCCTATTCATTAATCATCAATCAAATGCAGATGACAGTTTTTCTAATGCATAAAGATTTATTTTCTATTCTTGAAACACTTTTGTGTCTTTTATCTTTCATATCATCCAAATTAAAGTCTTTTAGACCTACCTCATTCTTCTCTTTGAGTTCTTCAATGGCAGCGCAGTACCCTTCATGGACTTCTTTCAACTTCTCCGCCTGTGTGGCCTCCGCTTGTCGCAACTGGTACGTGTGCTCCGTCTCCAACTCACTCATCCTTGTGCTAAGCAACTAAAACATTATTGCTGTATTAGTTTTAGCTTTACCACGAAAAAGAAGAATACTTTTATTATACTGACATTGATACTGTTTATTTTCTCTTGCAAATCTTTCTTGCTGATCAAAATCTCTTTCGAATATGCGAAATCCTTGTCTAAAGCAATCGCTCTCCCATCTGCGTTTGTCAGCCTCCACAGACAGATAGAGGAATCTTCTGCTACCGACACTAACGTTTGGTCGTCATACGACAAGGCAATGGAAGTCACTTTCTTATTGTGCATGTGAAATTCATTAAACACAGCCTTATCCAATAGCGGCAGTTGGACGGTAGTCACTCCTCCTTCTCCACCAGTTATGAAGAGCATCATGTCAGAGCGAGATAGCACGATCGTGTCTAGTGCACATCCGATTAAGGGTAGGTTCCTTCGAATGGTGTTTGATCCGATTTCTTTGATTTCGCCGTCCGAGCCGATTCCGTATGTAGTTTTTCCGATGCTAAAACGTCAAAATGAATTGAAATGGTTGTAATTAATGTAGTTAGTGTGAAAATTAGTAAACACTTACCTGTTAACGGCGCATGCGTTGAACTGGTTGGTCTTGAGTATGACCTCCCCGACTCGCTGTCCGGTAGACATACTCCACTCGTATACAGCGCCCTCTGTGCCGCAAGATACCAGGGTCAGATCGTTGGTTGACCACGCCAGGCATGTTACCTGCGCAATCAGTTAGTTAGCCAGGGTAACTTCACATTAGTTATTTTAGTTAAATATCCCGTCTAATGCTATCGCTGCTTCTGCTGAAGTGAAAGTAGTAAAAAATGGGCTTGAAAAACATACTTTATTACAAAAAACCCTAAAAAGCAGTAAATCCAAGAGAAAACTTATGTAAATATACAGTGTGTCCGGGCATGTAGTGATCAAACTTTAAGGGCGTAATCTATGGACAATTTTATCGGTGAAAATACTTTAAATTTGGGGCTTGACCCATTTCTCGCATATTTACAAGGATTTAAGTTTTTAATTTTAAGTTTTCACCTCTTCCTTCAAAAACAAGTGATAGCGTGGGTAGTTTAACATTAATAAGCAAAAATTTTTTTATCATGCGATAGCCAATAAAATTATCTATTAGTAGAAGTAGAAAACAGATACAAGTTTCATACATTTTAAGGGTGTAAGAATGGATTTAACTAGAAATAAACACGATTTTTTTCACATCTTTTTCAGTTATTTCCCAACACAAGAAAAACCAGGTCGTTAAGGTATGTTTTATTTGCATTTTATTATTAGTATTTGAGCTATTCTACAAAATGAATGTAAGTTTATTAGTCTACGTCTATTAGTTTCGACGTAATTGTTAAACAAAGATACCCCTTCCCAGCGGTTTCCATAGCGCACGCGACATGCGAAAATGCACTGCCTGAAAGAATTACACAACCTATTCCGATTACTATGGAAACCGCTGGGAATGGGTATCTCTGTTCAAAAATTACGTCGAAACTAATAGACGTAGACTAATAAATTTACATTCGTTTTGTAGAATGGCTCAAATACTAATAATACAATGCAAATAAAACATACCTTAACGACCTGGTTTTTCTTGTGTTGGGAAATAACTGAAAAAGGTGTGAAAAAAATCATGTTTAATTCTAATTAAATCCATTCTTACTCCCTTAAAATGTATGAAACTTGTGTCTGTTTTCTACTTCTACTAAAAGATAATTTTACTGGCTATCGCATGATATGAAATATTTGCTTATTAATGTTAAGTTACCCACGCTATCACTTGTTTTTGAAGGAAGAGGTGAAAACTTAAAATTAAAAACTTAAATCCTTGTAAATATGCGAGAAATGGGTCAAGCCCCAAATTTAAAGTATTTTCACCGATAAAATTGTCCATAGATTACGCCCTTAAAGTTTGATCACTACATGCCCGGACACACTGTATATTTACATGATATTTAATTGGAATAATTGATGCTCTGTAGGTTCGCGCTTCGATACAAGTACAACGTTAATATTAAGTTATTTACATTCACACTTGATAAACTCAATTGACCTTGCATTGCGGTACTGCAGTGTACATTATTTATCTATCACTCATCCACTCACAAAATGGATGTTATTACGTCATTGAAATGACCGTCTGTCATAACAAACAACAATCAACAAACAAACAATGTTTTATAGGGTATACCTGAAAGTCAAGAATATTTACGTATTTGTTGATACGGCACTGAACTGTTATCCTAGTCTACTTTACCATATAATTATATCCAGCCGCACGTTTTTTTTTATTTACTATTAGAAAATAATAAGTGTTTAATAGCCAAAAAAGTACTTAACTTATTTTTCTTTACATGTTTAGAGAAATGGCTCAGAAAGTTCCGGTAAGTCAACAAAAGAAGAAGTTTTTATAATCGTGTTCGTTACAACAAGGCTGCAGGCACCATACATGATATTGCTAAGGACAATGATAGATGTTGAGTTGAATTTTAATCCTTTGTAATTTCGCCTTAATCTCTATATACCGTTCTTCACTTTGCACTTTCGATTAGTTACTATCAATCTGTTAAAATAATTATTTATAATACTAACCCGGCCGTTATGACCCTTCAAGTTATAAACATTCTGGAAGGACACTGACGAAAACACCTGTATGACTTGACCATTGACTGCGGCGAACAGGTGACCGTTAGTGCTGAATTTGGCCTGCTTGCAGTTTCTTATAGGAAACTCTCGCATGACTTCAAAATCGTCGATCAGTACCACCATAAAACGCAGCTTGTCTGAAAATCCGACGATAGCGAATAAACCTGCAAAGAGAGATTTTTTACCAACCTGTCAATATGCACAAACACAGATTCTGATAATAAATAAATAACTGTCACTTGTTGGACGATATGAATATTTTTTATGGCATCGCGGCTCAAAATAATATCTAACCAGTGGGATGTAAAGAAACGCAGTGTATTTCCTCCTGGTAGAGTCTGATCAACTCTATGTCGTCGGTCATGTAGTTCCATATCCTGATGCTCTTGTCCTGTTCCCCGGAGGTCATGAAGATTGGCTTCCACGCGCACATGGAAAGGGAGTTTATTCGTCCGTAATGCATTGCTGGGCCAAGCTCCGTGAAGGAGATTTCAGGGTTCTAGAATTAAAAAAAATCATTTCCAAGATTTGTTTTCCCATAGATACAGGCTAAGCAGTAGCGTAGCGTGCCTTAGGTGGGCCATATATCAAAATTTGTTGGGAGCTCTATCAAAAAAGGTCATGAGGCCCTTTTAATGTAAAAGTTATAGAACTTCCTTAGGCAGACGCCTACTCAGTCTGTTCGTAAAAGTCTGGCACTGGGGCCCCTGTATTCCGGGGGCTCCGTGTCATTGATACGGCAGATACGTACGGCGGTAGCCTCTGAGGCTAAGCTAATAGAAAGATAGTATAAAAACAACATTTAAGGAAGAATTATCTTTGAACTGTACCTGTAACATATGCACCCCAAATAGCTTCACGTAATACAACTGCTTCCGCAAAGTCGTGATGAGCAGCGTTTCCTGGTTAGGATCTATCGTGATGTGCTGAATGGCATCAAGTGGAGACCAGAGTGGGTTGTCCCGTGTGTGCCTGGACATCGTGAAAACTTATACAAAAAGCAGTTTCAATAATCACTTACTAGATTTACGAAACATACATACTTGTAGGACTTCTTGGATATCCTGAACAGGTTCCTCTTTCTCCAATGGTGTGGCGTTTCTTTCTCAAACATGTGCACATAACCAGGCCCACAAGCAAATGCGAACCCTATAAGCATTTTATATTAATTGATAGTGTAAGATGTTATCAGTATTTTAAATTACTTCCTAAGTATGCATCATACCTTTTGGAAAGTTCACAAAGCAAGTGACAGGGTAACTTTCTTCGAGGAGTTCAACGCCACCAGCAGCACCTGTGTCGCTCGTTTCCTCTTGTTTGCTTGAAGTACTCGCCTTCTCAGCAGTTTCTTCTGCCCTATATTCAATCAATTGCACTTGTTTAGTTCCTCTATTTTCCTACTAATATAGATCTTTTGTGCTTTCTGAGAATTTTATATTTTTTAAATGTAAATTGTAAATGCATTAAAAAATAACTTACGTTGGTTTAGCAGCCTCCGGGCTAAGCATGAAAATTTCAAAACAAAATCAGCCTACGTAAATGTTTACACATTGCTCACAAGGACCACTACTAACTTATCTTCACCCTATTATCTGACCTCAAAAAATCTGACCGATGATATTTTTTTATGTTAACTGACAGCACTTACTCAGCTTCAACTTTCTTCAGGGACATTTCTAGAACCTCGGCAGCTTTAAAGATGCAGTTCTGCCTGAGCTCGCCGTTTTCCACCATCATGATGACGCCGTTGTCTGTCCCGAACATGATGCGATCCGGCGTCAACCACATGGCGGTGGTTATGTTGATCTGTTGCCGGACGTATGGAATGAAACAATTGCCAACGCGTGCTCTAGTGCTAGTGGTGTTATTAATATTTGTAAGAAGTCTACACATACGCAAAGTGCAGTACTGTACTGTACGTACATTTTCAACTAACTTTTCACCACGGAACAAAAATGCTCCGTGCTTTTCACTATTTGCAGAGGGGTCCACTTAGTTTCTTTAATAGGTAGCACTTCAGTGCTAAAGTAGGTAGGTAGGCGAATATTACAAACCAAAGAAACACCATCTAAAATTTAAGTAATTAAAATTATTTTCACACGTACATTTTCAGCCTTACACCACCCCCATTGCCTCCAAACCGTTTCCGAAACATTCATGATGCGGAAAGTGTAAGGCCCTGTAATGACCACCAAAGTAGCATCCGAAGGGTTGCATTGCACCTGCCAATTAAAAACGTATCCAATAATTAGAAAAGCAATAGAACTTTATCTCTATCGTAAAAACTATGTATCGAGACGCGGCAAATGAAGTATACGTGAGGAAGTTGTTAATTTCCTCATTATCAAGTTAATCCTAACCTAATAAAGCGTATAATGCTCATTGTTTCTTGAAATTGTAATGCAGATTGTCCAACGAAATGGAAAATTCCTCTAACTATGAAACCAGACCGTCTTAAACAGAAAAAACTGAAAATCGTGAAAATAATTCTGATGCTTCGTAAAAATCGCGCGATGCCTTCCGGTTTGTATTTGAAAAACTTTTACGACACGATTTTAGTTTAATCCCATTGTAAATAAAAAAAAAACTCTTATGCGTCTGCTCATTGCAATTACATGCACGTATTAGCAGGCCTGTACATCTCCGCGAGTTTACATCGAAAACAAAACACGCACGATGGCCCACCTACAGGATACTATTCGACAAGGCCTCACATACGAGCGAGCATTGACTCACGCACGCGTATTATTGTGTATGATGGAAGAAAATAAAGAAAATGGTGTACTAAATACTGTGCAGTATTTAACTGCCTAAGTAATAATAAAAACACAGAATGTACTTTTAAGTTGCCTCAAGACACTGAGAGGTAAATAAGTAGTTAATATTATTCATGATAATTCATGCTAAATCATGTATTTCCTCCGCTATTTTCCGCAGTTTGGCACCTCACGTCACATCATTTTACCGAAGTTAGCCCTATAGCTTCGGCGCAGTGCCGATCACTGACGTTTGTCAACAAAATGGTGCTTGACTCTTGAGAGAGGCTAAATTACACCATATTGTTTATGACATTGAGCATACATTTTTTTAAATACCTTCGCGAAGTAAAACTTCTGTACGTAGTAGGTACTTATTATTATTCTGTGGTATTAATAGCTTTATGATATCAATGTAGAACATAGGCATTAGACAGGTGCGAGTTTATTTATAACTCCGTCTGTTGATTGGAATAGGAAGCACTCACACTTTCGACTACTCCTTGCCCGCTTGGGTTCTGCGCCTTTGCATGACTCTCCACCTTCCCCTTGTCCCAATTGTAATAATACAAATACCAATCAGGCTCCCCTGTTATTGCGACGAGATACTTTGAATCATACGTAAATTGTACACATGCGAATTCTCTAGCCGTCGAATTTTCGAAGGGGACGGTCAAGATTTTTCGCCTTTTGTATGTTGTCAAGTCGTATATTGTTATTATAGGCTTCTGCCCTTCTTCAGCTATTTCATTGAGTGCCAGCCATCGTCTATAAACCAGAAATATAAAACAAAGACTTTATTGATAGAAATCGCATGATAAAATGGAATCACATGATCCGTACAGTCCGCTTTTTATATTGAACTAGGAAAGAGCAGGAAAGATTTGACAAAGTACGAACCTATTTGGCGCTAAAACTAATGATTTGATAGGCTTGTGTTTGTCCTGAAGCCTTATAAACTTCTGCTTCTTCTGAAGATGATTGTGAATGACAATCACTCCCCCAGCTGGGTATATGATTTCCGATTCCGTCAAATAATGGGCATTGTACCTGGAAAATGAAGGTGAAACTTGCGGTTCATTAAAACGATGATTACTAACATTTGGGCCTTGTTGAGTCTGTAAGAACTAAGAAGGCTTGAAGCAAGGATTCGATTTAGTTATTTTTTAATCCAGTTTAAAAATACCGTTACAGATATGATAGAATACTCACTGAATATCTGTACGCAGTCCGTAGAATATCCTAGCAGAAATATTTGGTGGGGTTGCCGTAGCCATGATCGTGTAGTTTATATAAAAGAAAACCTAAAATGATTATCACTACTTAAATAAAATCATCAATACAAAGAAAACCACTGCAATAAACGCGTTCTTTCAAATGGTCAAAATAATTGGTTGCTATGGCTACTGTCGTGTACCGAAAAGGCATAGTAAATAAGAGTGACCCCGATAGCGACCTCAAAGAGGACGAAATTGATCAATCAAAGCCGCAGTATTCTTCACACTTTACTTGTTCCATTTACCGAATCGTTCTACTTTTACATAAGTCTTGTATTTGGGACAATAAAATGCTTTATTACAGCATGCGTCAGTAGATAGCAGCCAAATTATGGTCCATATACCTACATCATTACTTAAATACTTACTCGTAGCCTAGGCTCTTAGCTTTATATGTTTTGTACTCGTAACATCTTGAAACATCATACATAAATGCATTAGCAAATGTTATGCGTCTAAGTAACTGACTTCGCAAACTGCGCATTCTAAACTTACCTTCCAGCGGTGGTCATTTGTGATCGTATGATTGGTCCTCAATGCCGTCCGTGGCACAGCATCCGCCTTGCAATTTCCGAGATAAGTCGCAGCTTCCTTCGGGTTATGACGGCTAATACAGCTGTGCACTTATGAAATGTATGTATAAACAGGAACTTTTGGATAGATTATGTTCTTTTCCATCTCGTCAGATCAAAATAATGATGATTCACGGTCTCATCAAATAAAGTATTGGGGTCATTTTAAATTTCGTTGTCGTCTTCTAAGAACATCTGGTATAAATATTACTGAAATTATTTTAAATCATTTCTGTAAACTTTCTTCCCTCGACTCTTGTTATATTAGTAAGTTAGTAGTAAAGTCAATACTAACTTCAGGAAAACAATTAGCAATTTTACGTATTACATTTTCAAGCACGTTTTCTTGGAAGGCGCTAAAGAACTCTACAAAGTTTTTTCTTAAAGTAACTTAATTAAATATTAATATAGAGTTTTAGGTTATAGGAAAAATAGTATTGCTTTCTTTTCTTTTATGTTAAGTTTCCATTTCAGTGATGACTTCAAAAATTCGGCTACAAAATCGGTTTGTCTTTCATTTCATCAGAGTTAGGTATTTAGCTATATCTTAGTGAGTGATTGATACTTCCTTTTACAAAACTAGATCACGTAGGTACGTTGTACTCTCAAAGTGATTAACATTGTAGGTCACTCGTAAACGATCAATAAAAACTAGGTGAAACAATATCTCGATCTGTACAGAAAAACTCTACCAGAAAATATTTTTAATTAATTAATTAATTGCGAGTTAATCGTTCTCCGTGGAGGCGTTGTTAGAGCTTATTACGTTGTCCACTATTTCTTTTTACAGCAATCTTTATTTTTTACAAGACTATTTCAGTGATGTCTTAAACATCAGAGCAGGATGTAGAGATACAAACTTTTCGTGAAAAAATGCGTAATCTGCATACAAAAATGCACAATTAGGACGTGCAAAACCTAATTTTGATACGGATGAGTTGGCGTGTTGTTTTCATTTTTGTCGTTTATTTTTAATTTACCTTTGACTTGTTTCCTTTGCTTGGACTATTTAGAAAGAGGAGTAAGAATTCACCTAGTTTAACTAACGAAGCGACATCTGAACACGTCTGCCCTCATTGCAGCAGTTAATTAACATCGATAGCACGTGCCTCATCCCAATAGTTACTCAAAATGAGTTCGGCACACTCAAAATTAAAACACTTGCAAAAATACCTAGTGAAATCTAGATTGCGTGACACACTTCTGCAAATGCTAATTCCTCGGTCTGGTTTTACGGCTCACTTTATTTGTACAGTCTGTCGGTAGCTTTCTCTTTTGTTCTGAACAAAACAATGGACAATATTTTAATTAATCGTCTGATTAGAAGTTTATTGTAATGGGCTGAGAAGTATTTGAAACTGAAAGCACAATTTCACTCATGGGAAAGTTGGTACCTAGTTATGTAGTCCCACCGCACCATGGTGCGGTGCTAAGATTCATGAATCTTCAGTGCTTTTGCTTAAAAATTGTTTCGTAGGTATTTAGTTTTACACCTATTCAAGTTTTGATGTATAGACAATATTTTTTTTCAAGTCCTTTATATAAGAATCAATCCTTGTTAGATCCAATCAATTCAAAGGGCATTGTGGATCAATATAAATGTAGACTTACTCATTGATTGTTTTACAAACAACTAAGTAACTCTTCATTCCCGTTGCTTAATCTAACGGAAAGTATGTTCGTCACGCATGATGCTAGCTATTTTAATAAAACTTTTCAAGTTACCTAGCTATTTAGGAAATATTTAATGACCCTTGAATTAAAGTAGAAACGAAAGTAGGTAAAGTTAATACGTAGATAATATAATTTCAATTTTCGTCAAATCGAACGCGCGAACCTATACTTAGTTAATGTTTTTCCATTAAATTTAGTAGTTAGTGTAAACAAATATTAACTGGGCATAAAGAAGCCCTCCATTGAACAATGAACGGTTGAGCAATCAGATAGCATCCAGTGACCCGGTCAATGAATTGGCGATATTGGCCACAATTGATGGTGCAATGTAATCTACTCGCTCGATGGTTTCCTGGTTACTATAATAAAGTAACTGGCACCAATCACGAAACGAATGAAAAAGTTCATACGGTAGTAGTCTGCTTAAACTTAGCGAATGCGGTTAATGAGCGCGCAATTTTAATATTAATAAAAATTGCCTTTCTTAAATTTTACGCTTTTGTGTTGTGATCATTTTGTTTCGTTTCATTTCATACGTAATAATAACAGTTGTGGAATTAAAACGTTCATTAAATTGCGTGTTAATTTAAATTCTTGCATTGTGGATTATTATGTGCATGTGAACAAAACACTTTTCTGAACCTTTGTTCCAAGCGATACATGTAGGTACCTACAATACGAAAAACAAAAGCGTGCGATGACCACGATGAGTAAGACATTTTGTCTTTATTGTGGAGTATCAGGCACCTAGCCAACTCCTTGGCATTTCATTTCGAAGAAAAACAAAATTGGTGAACGTTATGCTTTCTCCACTTGAATCGGAAAATTTGAAGCTACCTAAGCTCTACTAAAAGGCACATTCTCTATTTTACTAAGTCAGAGGATCGATATACCATCGCGTGCCAGTCCATTTGAGTTGGTATTTTGACCGTCTGTAAAATTATAGCTAAGTATAGCAACCATTGTTGTGTGGGGTTGTGAAAATGAGAACACCCCTATAAATCGTTAATATCTTTCGAGGCTACATTGCTAGAATTGTAGGTAAAAACATGCGCTCGAAGCAGACAGTAGCCTACATATTGTACAGTAGATAGGTAGGTACTACTTGATATTACGAGGTCTTCTTTCTGTATTTTAGTGGGACATCCTACTAAAATTCCTATTATCTACCAACAAAACCTCCTACCATTTTTGACTAGAAACACGTTCGTATCGTAAATACGTACCTAAATCGTACATATTCAAATGCCACACATGCGATTGTTTGCAAGGTGTCCACTATTGCGTAATTCATGAAGTCAGTTGGTGTCTAATAATATTTAAAGGCGCTCGTAATATTTTCCTTAGTTTACACGACCTTCGCCTTTCGGTGGGTGACGCGGCCTCGTCACGATGCTGGCGTCATCACCAGGCTTGCATGTTGACATAAAACGAGTAACTTTATAACCCATAACTATGGAAACAGCACATTTCAGAATGAAATCTTTGTTCACGACTGCAACTAATTCTATTTGTTTGGTTTCATCCATACATTGTGTTTTATTACACAATACAATATTAGTTAAACGCAGGAGCTAATCCTTACTGCTGAAATAATTAAGCAGCTAGCTAGGTATTTAGAAAAAATATACCTGTTAATTTGTTTTTATGATGACGATGAAAGTAATTAGGTACCTACTTAGTAAATTACTTTTTTACTATTTTTTTTAAATTTTGATAGGTAATTGGTAGACTATAGAGTCTACCANGTCTACCAAATTTCGATTTGCTCTACCTAGGTAGAGCAAGTCGGAATATAGTTTTTGTGCGTGACCAACACTGTTCGGTTATACTAGGAGTAACTAAAACTTAAGAACCAGCCAGCAGGCAAGCAATACGTAAGCCTTGCGAAAAACTGCATAGCATAACGACTTAATTACTTCGCAAATTGTGTAATAGCGCTAAATCGTCAAGTCATTTGCTACGATTTCGATTCGTAATCGATTATCCGTCGAGAAAAGCCGCATCGGTGTGACGTAGCGTTGAGGCACACGAATGCGTGATGTGAGGTGGCACGATCGCGGGCGGTGAAGATGTGACAGCTCGTGGGCCGCGTGCGGCGGGCGCCGGTAGTGTAGCCCCGCGCGCGACGCCGAGCGCCGCGACGTTGCCGATCTCGCGCGCAAACAAACACCAATTAGATATCTCGCGCGATTAAACGATACAACTTTATCAACGCGATAGCTCACTAGTGTGATAACAGATAAAGTACGAAGTGGTCGACGCCTGCACTGTGTATTATGTAAAAGTTTGACAAGTGAATCTTCAATCATGACTGCCATGGCGGGTCCACGGAAGTCCTTCTCGATCCACGACTATCCAGAGCACCTGAACCCTTTCCACGAGGAGGACAACCACAACAAGATCAGATTCTGGACTATTGGGAGGAAGCTGAATCGTTCCAACAGCATCACTTTCTCTGGGATTAAGGATATCAAGAACTCATGGTGAGTACCTACACAGATTTTTGTAGTTTAATAGAGCTGGTAAATATCGCGTTTTGGATTATAGTAGGTAAGGAAATACCTTCAGACCTACCTTTCAGTTTCCTTCTTAACTAATATGTAACTACAAATTATAACCGCCTAGCCTTGGTTCTGATTTGTAGATAATTCAAGACATGTATTTTCGATCAGCAAGTAGCAAAGTTCTTAATTGATTACGTATAATAATTACTTATTATTAACGATGCACTTTATAAAAACAATTATGCACTCATGTTGTTATAAATATAAGACGAATGCATAATCTTTAGAAATCGCATTCTATCACGTGGGTCTGAAACTGGTTTTCTGCATTTTCATTATTAGCTCTAAACTAATAATGACGTGGTTCAATGAGATGACGGATGATGTAGGTAGATAAGACGTATCATAATGAAATCAGTAATTAATAAACGTCGTATCATAAAAATATAAATCATGTGACAGCAACGTTTGGTGACTAAAAATCTAAAGGATGTCATAAGAAATGTAGAGTCTGATAGTGATAAGATATTATAGCATTGGCTTACTTATTAATACCCAATCAATTTCCCCAAACAATGTGACTATGCATTTGTGGAAAAGCATTCTTGATTCTATAGTTTACTCTTACTGTAATTTCATAATCTTTCGACTTTCTTACCACAATTTCTATCCTGACCACAAACCATAACACACAATACGTAATCATTGCATCCGTATCATGCAGTATGTATCGTATTATAATAATGTAATAATAAATGATCCTCACTTCTTTTAACTATAACACAAAACGCGACGTCGTTCATTAAAAACAAACAATGTGTCTTTCCGTGACCTTCCTGCATAAATAAGTTGCTAAACGTCTGTGTCTGTGCATTTTGTTTAATGGGGGCAACCCCCACACCTTTGATTAATCTTAGCGGTGTCTAAAATACTGCCATTTTCATTGATTATTTAGATAAAATATTTACTATTTGTTCATGTTTAGTTTTCTGACCTCTTGCAGCAATTGCACAAAAAATAACCCAACCTTTTTATAAAAAAATCGATGCCACGACTCGAGAGACTCCTTGTCCTCTATTTCATATTCAGACATGTTATTTAGATTTGAATATTCATACTTACATAAATACGTACCTAGGTACTTGAAACATTTTCAGCTTTGCGAGGATGTGTTATAGCGACACATTGTTTGCGTTATGACTTGGGCACGATATAGTCAGCATTCCACTTAACATTATCTCTGCAATCTGCAATGGCTCAATGGTCATCATTGCCTATTGCTAATTTACATGAGAGCGAGAATTATTCTATACTTGACGTTACTAACTTGGAAAAATGTAATATTAGATGGTATGATGGACCAGAGGTATCTCAAATCTTTCGATAGATACTCCTAGCAGCATTAAATTGATCTATGTCTCTACATTAAGACTTACGTAAGTTTATTTATGGATTATAGAATGCAACGAGAGTTTATATTTATCCGGGACTAAGGACCTTCACTACGTTCCGCTTTCTCATTAAACAAGTGATTATATTGCCATTGTCTTGCAGCTATGAGAATCATAACTGAAATGATAGCGTCTTCAGAAGTTTATTGAATGAGTTGGAAATGCCGACAGTCAGGGAGGAGGTGAGCAAATACTGTGCCAAATATAAGGAGAGAGAGAGATACGCGGCCTCCACTGCAGAACCTTTACCAGGCAAATACTACAGTTGGACCAAAGATGCTAGAAGCTTGGACCGAATATGTACCTATAGAAGGCCGGACTAGCCTACTTTGTGAATGAATGAAGACCGAGGGAGAGAATTTACAGATATACCCCTCCTTAAGAAAATTAAAATAAAGACAAAACATCTGATTATGACCAAGTAGACTGCAGATACAAAATGAAAAAAAAAAAGAAGTTTATTATGCTACGTTGTCTGTTTGATGTCCGCTGTCCGTTGATTTTGCATCAAAAATGTGCAGTTTGATGTGCTATAGTCTGTATCTACCGACAGAGTGAGATGGCGGGACCTACACAAGTCTTTGTTATCATATCAAGCTAGGGTCCGACGGAATAATGCAAGTGTCGTAAGGAGTATTTTTAGCTCTGAAGTCATTATTGACACTGCTACTGCGTACATTTGAATATGCAACGTGATTGGTATTTTATTAAGTTAATACGTGTACAGACTCAAAATCCAAAACTTAGAATGTTTTGCCAACAGACTATCAAGAGTACCTAAGTTACTTAGGTATAAAGTTCCTTTGAGTTTTTCCTTGAATTGCATCAAAAGATGTGAATATAACCCACTTCTTTGAAACGTGATTCACTTTGTACGTTGCCAACAGATACTTGAACATATTTTTGAAGTTATGGAAGTATCTAATTGCATCAATCGGCTTTTAATCTACGATACTCGCAGGAACTCGCGCAAGTAATTCTAGATATTTGTTACCAACTTTAAAAGGCATGGATTTCAGTAACTGTATTTTTTAAACACCTTTGTATGTAATTCAGCTTTACTTTCCCTACACATTTGTTTTGGGTCTTGTTAGTTAGTACATACTTAGTCATATAATAGTGATAAGAGAAGTGCAGAGAAGTTTAAATTTAGTCATTCAGTCAGCCACAATGAAAATAATTAATATTACAATAGACAGATAACTTAAAAGTACAACCAACGAGGAAAACATGTTTTGTAGGAAATGTAGAGCAAAAGCACAACAAAGTGTATTCTACTAACTGGTATTTTAGAAAACTAACCTAAAAAAACAATATTAGTACTTAAGTAAAAAATATGCAATTAATTTATTCCAAATTGACATTTTCATTTACTAGTTACTTAATGTCTTTTGTTTTTATTAGAGAAACTTTGTCTACGAGTATCGTTGTCACTGCAACATAAATGTAGGGTAGTAAGCCATATTAAGGACTTATTTTATTAATTTGCAAAAAGTCGTAGCTTTAATGCAATTGCAATAAGGTTGCAAATGCTCTTATAAAGATTACTGTATTTAGTAATGAACGTCTCTACCAATCCAAATAAAATGAATCACAATCAGATAACCCACTATTGAACACATTTACCAAATCTACACAGATATCATGAAGTAAAGCGTGTGTTGGCTTCGATCCAAATGTTTCATTTGGTTTTGTGCCTACTTACTGCAATATGATTTGCATAAAAAGTATTTTGGTAGTTAATTTTATAACAACCGACCCAAATAGGTAAACATGAAAATCTCCACGGATAATTGGTTAAGACTAGGCGCACCACCGTTGATTTTTAGTTGGCCGATAGTTGTACCCGATTTTAATTTGTATGAAGAATCGGCCAAATCGAATCGGCGAAGTGTGCGCACTCCCATACATGCCCATACTGATCAACTGCCCGACTAAGCTATCGGCCGACGAAAAATCAACGGTGTGCGCCTACTCTAAAAGGTCTTGATTAGGAGGTTTTATCAAAATTACAAAATCACTTTGTATAAATTTTCCTAAATTGATTGGTTTGACGTTCCGAAAATATCCAAGTCTAGAGTCTATCCAAGATAAACGTGAAACCATTTTCCTAGACTGATGAATTGATTTTCCACGTTACAATAGGTCCAGCCAGTGTATTATAAATCGATCGATATGATGCAATCTACAGCACGTGCACAAACAATATTTTCAGCTCACTGCGTTGGTTCAGAATGTCGAGTTTCAGAAAGTAACACGCGTCCCNGACTGAAATGGTAGCGTCTTCAGAAGTTTATTGAATGAGTTGGAAATGCCGACAGTCAGGGAGGAGGTGAGCCAATACCTACTGTGCCAAATATAAGGAGAGGCTGAAAAATCACAAACCAACTCTGTAGAGAAATTGTAGTATATCTAACCCACAAGACTGAAAAGATGGCAAATACAGTTGGACCAAAAATGCTAAAAGCTTGGACCGAATATTAGAATGCCGGACTAAATACTAAGTATGTGAATTAATGAAGACCGGGGGGAGAATTTACTGAAATACCCCTCCGAACATTAAAATAAAAATTTATCCAAGTCGATTGCAGATAAAGTGAAAAAAAAAAGTTTATTATGCTGCGTTGTCTGTAACAATGGAACGTTATGCTATACACTGGCATCTTAAATGTAATTGTAATAGGGGGATTTTGCATCAAAAATGTGCAGTTTGATGTGCTATAGTCTGTATCTACCGACAGAGTGAGATGGTGGGACCTACACAAGTCTTTTGTTATCATATCAAGCTAGGGTCCGACGGAATAATGCAAGTGTCGTAAGGAGTATTTTTAGCTCTGAAGTCATTATTGACACTGCTGTACAGCGTACATTTGAATATGCAACGTGATTGGTATTTTATTAAGTTAATACGTGTACTTGATTTTAGCAATTCTGCGAGCTATGTCGGTCACTTTAGTTCTCCTGCGGATCTCCTCATTTCTGATTCGATCACGCAGGGAAACTCCAAGCATGGCCCGCTCCATCGCCCTTTGGGTGACCTTGACCCTTCTTATGAGGCCCATAGTAAGCGACCACGTTTCAGATCCATATATTATCAACACTGGCAACACACACTGCTCGAAGTTGGCGGGGCACATAGCTCGTAGAGACGATGGCCGTTGGGGCAGAAAAGTTCTTGAGTGGCGACCACGGGCTGGAAGACGTAGCGTGGGCAGGCCTCCTACTAGGTGGACCAACGATCTGGTAAAGGTCGCGGGAAGAGCCTGGATGTCGGCAGCGCAGGACCGTGCATTGTGGAAAACCTTGGAGGAGGCCTTTGTCCAGCAGTGGACGTCATTTGGCTGAAACGTGCGAACGAATACGTGTACAGAAACAAAATTCAACTTAGAATGTTTTGCCAACAGACTATCAAGAGTAAGTTACTTAGGTATAAAGTTCCTTTGAGTTTTTCCTTGAATTGCATCTGAAGATGTGAATAACCCACTTCTTTGAAAACGTGATTCACTTTGTACTTTGTACGTTGCCAAC